CGCGCGTCGCACTGGTAGTCGTGTTCCTTGTGAGCGTCCGCCTCCTGTCCCTGGCACGCACTCTATGGCACCTCGTCCTTCCTCTGTTCCATAGCGTGTTCCCCTGTCGTCTCCTCCTGCGTCTTCTCTGCCTGACGTTCAGGACCCTGAGTCTGACCTGGTTCGTACTGCTCACCCTACTGTCAAGCGAAAAACTAGCCACTGTTGTCACTGACCCGTCGTTTGAGTCTACAGTTGCGTCTGCCGTAGTCTCTGAGCTTGTTGACTTTGCTGCTGCCTGTCGTCTAGACTTCGCTGCTAGTCTTGTTGCTGAGTCTGAGTCTGTCTGTCCTCCGTCCGTCAGGGGTGAGTGTGCTCTTGGCACGGACGTGCTTGAGGACAGGCAGGAGGACTTTGAGTGTCTTGCAGCCGCTGCGCCTCATCTCGTGGCCATGCTGCTTGCCCCTGAGGGAGACCCGGATGCTCCAGACATCCCGACCCCGCGCTCTTACGCTGAGGCGATTGCGGGTGAGTACTCCTCTCAGTGGCAGACAGCCATGGATGCAGAGATGGCATCTTGGAAGTCCACAGGCACTTACGTCGACGCAGTTCCCCCTCCTGGGGCGAACGTAGTCGATGGCAGGTGGATTTTCAGGGTTCTCCGCCTGTCTTCAATTCTCGTTACGTTGCACGAAGCTTCAGTCAACGACAGGGGGTTGACTTCTTCCAGACCTTCTCCCCCACCCCGAAGATTACCACTCTTCGGGTACTGCTGCACGTCGCCGCTTAGCGTGACTACTAGCTTCACTCTCTGGACTTCAGCACAGCGTTCTTACAGGGCAGTCTGCACGAGGAGATCTGGCTGCGCCGCCCACCTGGCTTCACTGGGTCGTTCCCTCCTGGTACCCAGTAGAGCCTCTGCCCGCCAGTCTACGGTATCCGTCAGGCGCCTCGTGAGTGGCACGAGACACTGAGGACAACACTTGCGGTTCTTGGGTTTGCACCTTCCACTGCTGACCCGTCGCTGTTTCTATGCACCGACACTTCATTGCCGCTGTTCTACATCCTCGTGTACGTCGACGACTTGGTCTTTGCCACTGCTGACACTGAGGCTCTCGCCCTTGTGAAGTCGGAGCTCCAGAAGAGACACACGTGCTGCAGCAGGTCCTTCAGCGCTTCGGCTTCACTTGGTCCTCGCCACAGTCCACTCCTCTGCCTACCGGTCACTCGCTCTCGGCTCCACTTTTGGACGAGTCCGTAGAGCCGAGTGGCCCGTACCCAGAGCTGCCTCATGTACCTGATGACCTGCACTCGTCCTGACCTTGCGTACCCTCTTGGCCTTCTGGCACACTACGTGGCTCCTGGTAGGCACCAAAAGGTGCACTGGGATGCTGCGAAGAGGGTACTACGTTACTTCTGCAGTACATCGGGCATGGGGCTCGTGCTTGGAGGATGGAGCTCAGTTGTCCTCACTGGGCACTCAGACGCTTCTTGGGTTGACGACCTGGCTACGCAGCGGTCGTCACAGGGTTACACATTCAGCCTTGGCTCTGGCTTTGTTTCTTGGCGGTCTACACGCTCGTCTTCTGTTCTCAGCTCCAGTTGTGAGGCTGAGATCTACGCCACAGCCATGGCTGCACAGGAGCTACGCTGGCTCACCTACCTGCTGACCGACTTGGGAGAGAGGCCTCGTTCTCCTCTAGTTCTGTACGTCGACAACAAGGCTGCCATTGCCTTGTGTCAGGACCACAGACTGGAGCACGGAACGAAGCACATCTCTCTGCGTTACTTCCTTGCTCGAGATTTGCAGCAGCGTGGTCAGCTTCGTGTCGCTCACGTGCCCACCAAGGCCAACACGGCTGATGTGTTCACCAAGGCCCTTCCGGCTGGTGATCATCAGCGCTTCTGCACCGCTCTAGGCCTGGTGCCTACGTTTCCTCACTTGTTGTAGACTCTGGTTATACTGATATATGTATATATATATATACCTGCATGTTTACTCTTGCTAGGTAGTGATCACTGTACTGTTGTTGTTCCATATATACCTCTGCATGTGAACTGGCCTTGTGGCCCCTTTGCTTGTGCTCGGAGTGTGTGGTGACGTTGTGATCCACCCTGAGCTTGCTTTGCTTTTCTTGACTGGTCTTGTGACCCCTTGTTCTCCCCCACTTTGCCTATGGGGGTGTGTCAAACCATATCTGTGCTAGTTGTGTGTAGGCTATAGTGGGGTAGCCCATGTGGGGTACAACCCAATATTAGGGTTAGTACTTGTACCCACAATCCATCTAATGCAACCATTCCTGCTTGCTATCTTGACACCCCCTCAACCTCCCCCCCACATCAGCAGCAGCTGCAGCAGTGAGGAGGAGGCATGGCGGCAGGTGATGCAGTTAAGTCACCCTCCTCCCCCCCCACCCCCCAAAATCGCGGCACGCGCAGCAGGGAGAGGGAAGAAGCTGGCGCTGTAGGTGCAGCCTCCCCTTCACACCCTCCGCCCCCACCCCCCTCCCCCCCCCTACTGCTGCACGTGCAGCAGCGAGAGGGAGAAGGGGGGGAAGAGGGGGGGGGGTGGAGTAGGGGTTGCGCGGGGCAGCAGCGCGCAGGGCAGCGGCACGCAGGGAACAACGGAGCGCAAGGCAGAGGCACGAGGCGCCGGGCAGGAGGCGCACGAGGCGCCGGGCAGGAGGCGCGCGAGGCGTCGGGCAGGAGGCACGCGAGGCGCGCGGGGCGCGCAACGGACAGAAACCGCCGCGCGCTCGGGGTGCGCGACGGGCGGAAACAGCCGCGCGCTCGGGGCGCAAAACGGGCAGAATCCGACGCGCACCCGGGGCGCGCGACGGGCGGAAACAGCCGCGCGCTCGGGGCGCAAAACGGGCAGAATCCGACGCGCACCCGAGGCGCGCGACGGGCAGCGAAGAGGCGCATTAGCTGAAGCTAACGGTGGGCCCAATGAGAAAGGCTCTAAGAACAAGCCTGCTCTGAATACCATGTCAAATTAGGCTTATAACTCAATCCTTAGTTACCCAGGGTTTTGGCTAGGAAGCCTGAGTATGGAGAGGAAGGTTGGCAAAAGAGGAATGCACTATGAAGTGACAAGTACAATTAGGCAAGAACAAGGGTGCACCACCAACAAGTTTAGATATCTACAGTACACATACAAACAATCATATAAATATGTATAACATATCTTGACATTGAAAATGTACAAGGATAAATGGGGGAAAAGAAAACCAGGAAAGCCTCCATCATATAACCAGGACATCTTCTGGTGCCATCTTTCTTCTGCACACTCACTCCCCTTCTTTTATCACCCCCACCTTTTCTCTCCCTCCATTTCTCCAGCTAGGTTTTGCAAACAGAGTAGTTTAAAGATAAAGAACACCAGATTACACATCGCTGAAATGAACCATGGTGGATCGAGCCTGAAACAGCTCTGCCATTCCGCCGGTTCAGGCGCCCCGGGCTGCGCGCGGAGCTTCTTGAGCGCCAGCACTTGGCCAGCTCGCGTTGGCATAGACACCGAAGCATGGCACACCTGAAGTCCCCCCCACCAGAAACACCTGATTCGCAACTTCACGACGAGCGCAAACTCCGCTCGCTTTCGCGAACGAAGGTGCGGCAGTAACGCATGGTGCCAGATGGGGGCAAATATTCCCTGGCCGCACCAGACGGGCAGGCACCGGGCAGTAGCATTCTGCGCGGCGGCGAACTTCCGATTAGCGAGGCTACTGCTCTCATTTGCTGCGAAATCTTGTCACCGCTCGCGTCTAGTCGTTTTCGTCTGAACTTTGTGACCCTCCCTAACTCGATTTCGTCATCATGGGTTTGTGTGAGACACTCCCCTCACTGATATATTCCACCCCCTGCCACTCTTTCCCACATCCATTTTCTCACTCGTCGCTGCAAACCCTGAAGATTGAGACCAGCACCCGCAGGATCAACCACGGGAGTTTGAGGATACAGTCAATCCGCGCCATGGCGTCGTGGCAGCTTTCCGTTCTCGCCCTCTGCACGCTCGCGTCACTGCTGGCGCCTGCTGCGGCGCGGCCTACCAAGGAGGACTTTATTGACGAATTGAAGAAGACCCGAGACGCGCTTGCGGATTCCAAGCTGAACAACCGATATTACGCCACCCATACGCTCCTTGACCACGTCATCCCTCAACTGGGTAAACCCTGCTGCATTTCCCGCAAGTTATGCACGTTGCTTCCGCTTCGTCATCCTGTAGATCTCGTTATACGTCCGTTAGCAATGTGTCAGTGACAATGCTTCTGTTTTCTTTCTCTTCGCGATGATGCAGAGACCGACTGGAACCCAAACGAAGATTTTCTCAACAAGGTCGATAAAAAAACTTTCATGCTGCCCGAGGACAGCGCCATTGCTTCCTCTGCCCCGGACGCGCTCGCCATGATGGTGAAAACCGGCATGAAGCGCGGCGACGTCGACCCCTTCACGAAGCTCTTTCGCGCGCAGATGCTCGACGGCGTGTACGAAGAGGACGATCTCGCGAAGGCGACGAAGCTGACGGACGTGAATGGTCGCAGCGTGGGGAAGGATGAGGTTGTGGACGCGAAGACTAAGGCGAAGAAAGTGCGGATTGGAAAGGGCAAGGCTAAGATTAAGCATTCTGGGATTTTCAGGGGAAGGTTTCTTACCATCCATGGCGTCGACGCGTCGCAGCCGGAAGAGTAATCAAGTTCGGTGTTCTTCTTGGGGTGGTCATTATTTCTTGCAACCATGGAAGGACGTGACGTCAAGGCTGTTGCTTTTTTCTTTTGCTCCAGGTTTGTGTAATTCAGCGGGTCGTCTCAAATGTTGTTGTGTTTGTATTGCGGCTCATTGCAAGGGAATAAAATGTTGCGTGTGGCACCGTCATCACCACGATGCACGACTTCCTTCCAACACAAATCCTGCTGAAATCCCTGGGGCATAGATCTTGGTCAGACGAACCTGCCTTTTGGAGACGCATAGACGAATAAAAATGTCATTTATCCAGATGTACACAGAATTTGCATCCTCGGTCATGCGAGGGTGTCGCAGTGGGCGGGGTGACAAGCAGTGCAGGCGGGGACGAGTGGGCGGATGCAAGGGAGTGTGCACACAGCATGGTCTGTATGGCGTGCACCAATTGGCACGGGGAAAGAAGCATGACAGGGATGGAACATAGGGGAAGGGGCAGCGGATGAAGCATGAACATGGGCCCACAGCATGCACCACCTGGGCCCACAGCATGCACCACCTGGGCCCACAGCATGCACCACCTGGGCCCACAGCATGCACCACCTGGGCCCACAGCATGCACCACCTGGGCCCACAGCATGCACCACCTGGGCCCACAGCATGCACCACCTGGGCCCACAGCATGCACCACCTGGGCCCACAGCATGCACCACCTGGGCCCACAGCATGTACCACCTGGGCCCACAGCATGCACAACCTGGGCACAGCGGTGAGTGAGGGTGCATGGGAAGGATGAACCTGAAGGGCATGGGAAGGATGAACCTGTCTGTAATCCAAGGCAGGCAGAGGCAGACATCATCTGAAAATGGAATGGAGCTTGATTCTACCAGTGAAATCTGATGACTTCATAGCAAGGTTGCTCATTAGTACCCCTTGACAGGCATGATGTGGTAGGTAGGGCAAACAGCTGATTGGCGTACTTCCAAACCAAACACATGCTGGACCATTGGATTTAGGTTGTATGCATAATTATTATGATGGTTATGCTGCCTAAAAATACACTACTTTATTGACAATCCATTGAGATAATGGAAACTATCCAAACCCAGGAAGAAGCACCCCATGAGTTCATCGCAGGGAGCAGAAGCGGGGGCGGTCGCAGAAAAGGCGGCCGAATCTCTTCAGGGCGAAGAGCACCGAGCCTGCGACCACAGCTGAGGTGGCTGCGATGACTGGCGACAGGGGGGAGGAGGAGGAGGCTGCAGGAGAGGGGGGAGGGAGATGGGGAGCAGATGGGGGATTGAGGGGCAGGAAGGAGAGGGAGGGGTTTGTTTGAGGGGATTGGGAGAAGGGCGAAGAGCACTGAGCCAGCGACCACATCTGAGGTGGCTGCTATGACTGGCGATAGGGAGGAGGAGGAAGCTGCAACGGAAGGAGGGGAATGGGGAAAGGAAAAATGGGGGTAGTTGAGGGTTGGGAAAGGGAGGGAATGACAACTGAGGCCGCGATGGCGATATAGGGGAGGGGGAGGAGGCTGCAAAGAAAGGAGGGGGGGATGGAGATGTTGAATGTTTGGAGCATTTTGGGAATTTGAAGCATAGTCACAAGAGAGAGAACAGCCACAGTAGCTTCTATAACCGGTTAGGCGTTGGGGGGAAGGGGGAGTGGGAGGGGGCTGGCTGTTTGGGGATCCGGACGAGAGAGGGTGGAAAACAAAGCACTGAACAGCATGAACCCTGGCGCTACAGCATGAAACCCTGGCGCTGCTTAGAACGCAACATTACAGAAGATTTTAACTGATTATAAGATTTTAATCGATTATCTTGTTGGGAGAACGCCTATGCAGGAAAGAGTTACTCGGGGGGGGAAAAAAGCTCAAGAAACAGTAGCGCAAGCAATCTGTGTAAGGTGACTCACAAGGGATGACGTTTCGCAGGAAGAGGTACGTGGAGGCCACAAGCACCACGAGCGCCACCCTCAGGTTCTGTGCACAGGTGAGAACAGACACAATTGCAAGGGACAGGCGAGCAGGTGAGCACATGGGGAGAAATGAGCCGAGTGGAAGGGGGGGTGGGGGAGGCCTCGAGCACCCCGAGAGCAACCAGCAGCACGAGCGCCACGCCACCTCCTCAGGTTCCGTGCACAGGTGGAAACAGGCAGAGCCAAAGGGAAGGGCGCGTGTGAGCAGTTGCATGGAAGGGAGAGCAGGCGAGAAGCTGGCTACGATGGATGGACTGTGTGTGTATATATATATTTAATATATATATATATACCTGCTATGAAGGTATGGATACGTACTGTGTATAGAAATTCCAAGCGTTCTCAGGAAACACAGATATGAATGTCTGTGCACGTACTGTGTATCTCTCGATGCCCGTGCGTGTGAACGGAGATGGAGCGCCCTGCTTGACTGTGTAGTTGCCCATCACCAGATCCAGCCCGTCCTGTGGGTAGTGGGGTCACAGTGAAGGGAGATGATTGGAGAACATGGCTAACAGTGAGGGGAACATAGGCCGGGGGGGGGTGGACAGGAGCACGGGGCTGAATGGGCATGGAGCGCCCTGCTTGACTGTGTAGTTGCCCATCACCAGATCCAGCCCGTCCTGTGGGTGGTGGGTGGCAGCAGTGAGGAGGACACGGGAGGATCACAGGAGACTCGCGATGAATGGGGATGGATGGCGCGCCCTTTTTGATTGACTGTCCCGTGGGTAGTGGGATCACAATGAAGGGAGACGCCTGGATGGCAGGGTTATAAGATGCATGCGGGTTTCAATGACAGAGTTTCAAGCAGGAATGGAGATGCAGCGCCCTGCTGGACCAGGTGACATTTGAGTCGACTCAAGATTCGAGTCGACTCAAAAGTCACCTTGCATAGGAATGGATGCAGCAGCGCCCTGCTTGACCAAGCCAGATCCAACCACCAGCAGCCCCCTTCTTTTTTATCACCCTCACCTGCCGCACACACGCCATCAGTGAAGTTGTTGAAGAAGTATTGTATGGCAGCGCTGACCCCATCCTGTGACACAGCCACCCCTCATTTGCATCACCCTCACTCGTTTCAGTCATCCTCACCTGTCTCACGCCATCAGTGCAGTAGTTGAGGAAGTATTCTATGGCAGCGCTGACCCCATCCTGCATCACAGCCACCTGTATCAATCACGTTTATCGCCCTCACCGCACCTGAAGAGAGTCCCTCTCACCCGCTGCACGCCATCAGTGTAGTTATTGAGGAAGTAGCGCATCACAGCGCTCACCCCATCCTGGATACAGCGCTCACCCCATGCTGGAGGGACCCTTTTTTAAGTCACCCACACCTTCTTTTGCCACCCCCTGGTCACTACCAACCAACCAACCCTCACCTGTCTCACACCGTCGGTGTAGTTGTTGAAGAAGTAGCGCATCACGCGCTCACCCCATCCTGTGACACAAGCCCCCCCCATTCGCATCAGCCTCACTCGTTTCAGTCATCCTCACCTGTCGCACGCCAGCAGTATAGTTGTTGGAGAAGTATCGCATCACAGCGCTCAACCCATCCTTCATCACAACCACCAGCAGCACCCCTCGATTGCATCAGCCTCACTCGTTTCAGTCATCCTCACCTGTCGCACACCGTCAGTGTAGTTGTTAAAGAAGTAGCGCATCACAGCGCTCACCCCATCCTGAAGGAAACCCTCCGGGCTGCGCTTGCCGTACCTGTGGGGTGTGGGGGGGAAGTTGAGCCAGTAACAGGAAGAGATCGAGCCAGTAACAGGAAGAGATCGAGCCAGTAACAGGAACAGATCGAGCCAGTAACAGGAAGAGATCGAGCTGTTTAGGGTAATGGGACAAGCTAAACCTTTGGCTCAGAGAAGGTGAATGTGAGGAAGAGTGTGCATGCGAGGCTCAGAGTGTGCATGCGAGGCTCAGAGTGTGCATGCGAGGCTCAGAGTGTGCATGCGAGGCTCAGAGTGTGCATGCGAGGCTCAGAGTGTGCATGCGAGGCTCAGAGTGTGCATGCGAGGCTCAGAGTGTGCATGAGAGGCTCAGAGTGTGCATGCGAGGCTCAGAGTGTGCATGCGAGGCTCAGAGTGTGCATGCGAGGCTCAGAGTGTGCATGCGAGGCTCAGAGTGTGCATGCGAGGCTCAGAGTGTGCATGCGAGGCTCAGAATGTGCATGTGAGGTGTGGTGTCTGGAGTGCAGAAGATAGAGTGCCAGTATGCTTCTGCACGCATTCTTTTGAGACGCGTCTATTGATTTGCCTCACAAATGAATCGTCTTTTGAGGCGCGCTTTTTGGCGCCTAGTGACAAGTGGCACGTACCGCACATAGTCTCCCTTGAGTGCTGGCGTGCCTGTGTACTGCGTGCTGATGTCATCGCCATGGTCCGCCCACACTGAGAGTAGTAGTGGGGATCGAGGGGAGCATTGGCGAGGGAAGGGAAAGGAGAGGGCGAGTTTGGACTGGTACGGTGTGCTGTCATCTACATAGTCCCCCTTGAGTGTGGGCGTGCCCGTGTATTGAGTGCTGATGTCAACCCCATGGTCCGCCCACACTGACAGGGAGAACATCGAGAGACGGGAATGGAGGGAGAGAGACGCATTAGCGGCGGCAGAGTGCGGGGTGGTGATGCAATGGGGAAGGAAGGTACAGAATAGGTCTGCCTAGAGTGCTGGAGTGCCCGTGCTCTCACTGCCTCTTCCTTTTCCTCACTCCATTTCTCCCCACACCAATTCATCCACTCACTGATCTTGTACTTGGCATCAAAGTCGCTGTGCTCTGCCACCCTCTCGTCCTTCCCCAGCAGCCCCATCTGCCTCAGCTCACAACACTCAGCATGCACGTATATGCCCCCTCTCCTGCCTTGCTAACTCCCCCCACCCACCACTCTCCAATCCCCCGCCACTCACTGATCTTGTACTTGGCATCAAAGTCGCTGTGTTCTGCCACGCGCTCATCCTTCCCCAGCAGGCCCATCTGCCTCAGCTCATCCTCCAATACGTGCCGCGCAAACCAGCTCTGAAAAGAGGGGGGGAGGTGGAGTGGAGGGGGGATAGAGGGGAGGGGGGGATGTTACCGACTCACCCAGCAGGCCCATCTGCCTCAGCTCATCCTCCAATATGTGCCGCGCGAACCAGCTCTGCACAAGAAAGGGGAGGGGGAGGGGGAGTGGGAGGGGGACGGGGTGGGGGGTTGGGTTGGGAGGGGGTTACTGGGTCACCCTGCAGCTCCATCCGCGTCAGCTCGTCCTTCAGCACGTGCCGCGCGAACCAGCTGTGAGAAGGAGAAGGAAGGAGAAAGCAGGCGATTCAGGGAGAAGACGGGGGGATTCATGCAGCCCCTGCAGCCCCATGTGCCTCAGCTCGTCCTCCAGCACGTGCCGCGTGGACCTGCTCTGAGAAGGAGAAATCAGAGGAGGGCCAAGTGGGGAAGGGAGGGCGAAGTGGGGAAGGGAGGGCCAAGTGGATGGGAGGTGAAGGAGGGTCTATTCAGTCCCATCCCTGCAGCCCCATCCGCGTCAGCTCGTCCTCCAGCATGTGCCGCACGAACCAGCTCTGAGGGAGAGAGACGTGGGGTGGTTGGATGATTAGTATTCTGGCGGTGAGTAACTAGAAAGGCTTTACCTTGAAATGCGGGCGGGTGATGAACCAGAGAGGTCAAAGCGTACAGATAATCACCAGTGATCTGCTTGCCACCTGAGAGCCCACCTGGGCGCCACCTGAGAGCCCACCTGGGCGCCACCTGAGAGCCCACCTGCTCGGCACCTGAGAGCCCACCTGAGTAGTGCAGTCAGGGAGTTGAAGTGCGCGCTGTGCCGTGCTGCTGCCACCTGACAAATCACCTGATAGGCACCTGAGGACCCACCTGAGTGACATTGGTGCGGTCAAGGCAGTCAACGCAGTTGGTGCGCACTGTGCCGTGCTGCTGCTTCTGCACCGTCCCATCCTTGCCTTGCAAGAAGAATCTGGTGGCACGACAAAGAGCGGATGGGATGGGAAAGGAGGGGAGAAATCAATCTAGGCTGTTGAGAATGCATCGCTGGCGGGCGCTGCTTCTGTACCGACCCATCCTTGCCTTGCAGGAAGAATCTGGTGGCAGGGGAAAAAAGGGGCGGTGACAACATGGGCAGAGAATAGTATATAATTCGTAACTCAAGGCGCCTCAAAGCAAGTCAGTGCGCTCTGAGCCCTGCCGTGCTGGCATTGAGGTGACTTTTGAGTCGACTCAAAAGTCGCTCTGAGCCCTGCCGTGCTGGCATTGCTTCTGTACCGACCCATCCTTGCCTTCATTGCAGGAAGAATCTGGTGGCAGGGCAAAGAGTGGACGGGATGCGGAAGGGAAGGAGGGAATGGCAAAGAGTTACGAAGAGTCAAGAGCTTGACTTCCCTGTGAAAGGGCTGAAACGACTGGCACGTGATGTGATGGCAGCAGACGGAAGTGGGGAGTGGCACATGACATTAGTAGTAGATCCAGGGAAAAGAGGCCTGAAGCAACTCACCCCTGGTTCTCCATGTCTTTGCCGATCTGGTCGTCCAGCTGAGAGAGATCATTCCGGAGTCAGCTGAAATGACTGACACATGATCACGTGATGGTAGCAGAGGCAGAGAGTAGAGGCCTGAGGGAACTCACCCCTGGGTCTCCATGTCCTTGCCGATCTGGTCGTCCAGCACAGAGAGCTGGTGGTACTTGGTGGCGCCGCACTCGTGGTGGAAGTCAAACGGCACGTAGCTGGTGTGAGAGGGAGGGACAGAGGCGAGGAAAAAGGGACGGGAAGAGGTGATTTTGTGTGAATGGCAAGCAGTTGGTGGTGGTACTAGCTGGCGCCACACTCGTGGTGGAAGTCAAACGGAACGTAGCTGGTGTGAGGGAGGGGGGCGGGCGGGAGGGGAGTTCCCAGAAGAGCAACAGGCAAATAAAGAGGGATGGAGAAAGGTGGTGTTTGGTCCGGCGCAAGCTGCTGCTGGTGGTGATACTTGGTGACCCTGCACTCGTGGTGGAAGTCATATGGCACGTAGCTGGTGAGAGAGGGAGGCACGGGGGATGAAGTGGGGGGGAAAGAGAGAGGTGGTGCTATGTGAATGGGAAGCCGCTGGTGGTGATACTTGGTGACCCTGCACTCGTGGTGGAAGTCAAATGGCACGTAGCTGAGGCGAGGGAGGGAGAGGGGGAGGAGCGGGAGAGAGTAATGAGTGTCGTGCTGAGAACATAACACTGCTGGCGGAGAGCTGCTGGTGTAGCCGCACTGCTGGAGGGGTCAAATGCCAGCCACATAGATGACGGGTTTTGCAGCCCCAGCGTAAACCAAGTGTTTTGAGACGCCTCAAAACACTTCTTTCATCACGTGCTGGAGGGGTCAAATGCCAGCCACATAGATGACGGGTTTCGCAGCCCCAGCATAAAACGAGGACTTTATGCGCTCGGTTTATGCATGCTGCTGAACACTGGGTGCATGCATACATGCCCATGACACTCAGAAAATGCACATGGGGTACATGCATGCATGGGCCATACCGCATGTCCGAGCCCTTGATCGCGTTCACGGCACCAGCATATGCTGCTGAACGGTATGTGTATGCATGCATGCCAAATACACTCAGAGTATGCACATGTGTACATGCACGGGTGGGTCGTACTGTACTGCAGGTCAGAGTACTTAATGGCGTTCACAGCTCCAGCATATGCTGCTGCTGCTGCTGCACACAGGATTATGTCATACATGCAACCCCGTTGTGTGCCTCCTGTGATAGTAGTTCCCGTAGTAAAGCGTTCCCTGGTACCTAGATGCGGTCGGTGCCGGCTTTTACGTGATAAACTCCCTTTGCTTCTGCGAACTGCTGCGAATTTCCTCCTGTGAAGAATGGGTCCGTTTGATATCCGTGGGTAAATAGTCCGGTCAGTAGCGGGCTGGTTTGGGCGAGTAGTATGGCATGGATTTGGGCAGTGGGGCGGGTCATTGCGTCAGCTATGGCATGGATTTGGGCAGTGGGGCGGGTCATTGCGTCAGCAATGTTTGATGCCCCCTTTTTGTAGGTGGTCGTGTAGTGGGAATTGGTCTTGAGGAAATCGAGCCAGCGAATCTGTCGTGGGTTGAGGTGGGGTTGTGCGCGGAGGTAATGTAGGGATTTGTGGTCTGTCCGGACTGTCACGTCTGCACTGGTCAAGTAACAGCGCCACACTTTGAATGCGTGCACGATCGCGAGCATTTCGCGGTCGTGTATCGGGTAATTTTTCTCGGGCGGATGCAGTTTTCGCGACTCGTATGCGGAGTACGGGCGGTGAACAGAGAACTTCTTTCAGGGGGGAGAAGGCAGCATGCTCTTTCTCCCTCCACGTAAAAGTGACCCCCTTCCACAGCAGATCTGTCAGTGGGGCAGTTAACCCATGTCGGGGACGAACCGACGCATGTAATTAACGAACCCTAAAAAACTCTGCAGCTCCGTGATATTCGTCGAAGGGTGCAACGCTTTTATTGTGTCGAGCTTCTTTGGGTCGATCTCAACCCCAGCCTTCGAAATAACGTGCCCCAGAAACTCTAGCTTGTCCCAAAAAAACTCGCACTTTGAACCCTTGGTCAGTAGCCTGTGCTCGTCGAAAAAAAAAAAAAAAAAACTGCTTCCAGGTCTGCTAAGTGCTGCTGCTTGTCACGACTGTAGACGAGGATGTTGTCGAGGTAAACTATCACGCATTGATCTAAGAGTGGCCTTAACGCCTCGTTCATGGTCATCTGAAATGTCACTGGTGCGTTAGTCAGCCCGAAAGGCATCATAGTGTACTCGAATGCCACGTGTCAGCCGTCTGCAACTACCTGCACCACTGGGGTAATATGAAACAAAACTTACCTCAGGTCAGAGTTCACAGCTCCAGCTTATGCGGATGGTAAGGCCTTACATGGACATGATCGAGGCCTTACCGCAGGTCAGAGTTCACAGCTCCAGCTTATGCGGATGGTAAGGCCTTACATGGACATGATCGAGGCCTTACCGCAGGTCAGAGTTCACAGCTCCAGCTTATGCGGATGGTAAGGCCTTACATGGACATGATCGAGGCCTTACCGCAGGTCAGAGTTCACAGCTCCAGCTTATGCGGATGGTAAGGCCTTACATGGACATGATCGAGGCCTTACCGCAGGTCAGAGTTCACAGCTCCAGCTTATGCGGATGGTAAGGCCTTACATGGACATGATCGAGGCCTTACCGCAGGTCAGAGTTCACAGCTCCAGCTTATGCGGATGGTAAGGCCTTACATGGACATGATCGAGGCCTTACCGCAGGTCAGAGTTCACAGCTCCAGCTTATGCGGATGGTAAGGCCTTACATGGACATGATCGAGGCCTTACCGCAGGTCAGAGTTCACAGCTCCAGCTTATGCGGATGGTAAGGCCTTACATGGACATGATCGAGGCCTTACCGCAGGTCAGAGTTCACAGCTCCAGCTTATGCGGATGGTAAGGCCTTACATGGACATGATCGAGGCCTTACCGCAGGTCAGAGTTCACAGCTCCAGCTTATGCGGATGGTAAGGCCTTACATGGACATGATCGAGGCCTTACCGCAGGTCAGAGTTCACAGCTCCAGCTTATGCGGATGGTAAGGCCTTACATGGACATGATCGAGGCCTTACCGCAGGTCAGAGTTCACAGCTCCAGCTTATGCGGATGGTAAGGCCTTACATGGACATGATCGAGGCCTTACCGCAGGTCAGAGTTCACAGCTCCAGCTTATGCGGATGGTAAGGCCTTACATGGACATGATCGAGGCCTTACCGCAGGTCAGAGTTCACAGCTCCAGCTTATGCGGATGGTAAGGCCTTACATGGACATGATCGAGGCCTTACCGCAGGTCAGAGTTCACAGCTCCAGCTTATGCGGATGGTAAGGCCTTACATGGACATGATCGAGGCCTTACCGCAGGTCAGAGTTCACAGCTCCAGCTTATGCGGATGGTAAGGCCTTACATGGACATGATCGAGGCCTTACCGCAGGTCAGAGTTCACAGCTCCAGCTTATGCGGATGGTAAGGCCTTACATGGACATGATCGAGGCCTTACCGCAGGTCAGAGTTCACAGCTCCAGCTTATGCGGATGGTAAGGCCTTACATGGACATGATCGAGGCCTTACCGCAGGTCAGAGTTCACAGCTCCAGCTTATGCGGATGGTAAGGCCTTACATGGACATGATCGAGGCCTTACCGCAGGTCAGAGTTCACAGCTCCAGCTTATGCGGATGGTAAGGCCTTACATGGACATGATCGAGGCCTTACCGCAGGTCAGAGTTCACAGCTCCAGCTTATGCGGATGGTAAGGCCTTACATGGACATGATCGAGGCCTTACCGCAGGTCAGAGTTCACAGCTCCAGCTTATGCGGATGGTAAGGCCTTACATGGACATGATCGAGGCCTTACCGCAGGTCAGAGTTCACAGCTCCAGCTTATGCGGATGGTAAGGCCTTACATGGACATGATCGAGGCCTTACCGCAGGTCAGAGTTCACAGCTCCAGCTTATGCGGATGGTAAGGCCTTACATGAACATGATCGAGGCCTTCCCGCATATGCGGATGGTAAGGCCTTACATGGACATGATCGAGGCCTTCCCGCAGGTCAGAATTCATAGCTCCAGCATATGCTACACACTAGGCGTATCCATACATGCCAATCGCACTTAAATGGATAAGCGATACATCAATGGGCCGTTCGTACCGCAAGTCAGAGTCCTTGATGGCGTTCACAGCTCCAGCATATGCTGAACCAATGCGGCTCTCCCCACCATCCTGTATGCATGCAGTGCAGAGGCATCCATGCCATGCCATGACATGCCATGCCATGACATGCCATGCCATGACATGCCATGACATGCCATGCCATGACATGACATGACATGCCATATCAATGCAAGCCATAGCGTCGCACGTCAAAACCATAGCACATTGCATTCCATGCATGCAGAGCGCCAACGACAGTCACACAGGGTTGCAGAGCAGAGTATGATCAGAATGGAAACTCGCAACCAGCATGCGACCAAGCACGAGGCATAGTGAGTACAAGCACGCGGCCAGGTGCTGGCTCCCTCCCACTGCATGATTGGTTGCACGGGCACCGAGTTTTGAGACGTCTCAAAACTCAACGCCAGCAACAGTCACAGGGTTGCAGAGTATGACCAGAATGGAAACGAGACAAAGTGAAGTGAGTGCAAGCACGCGACCAGGTGCTGGCTCCCACTGCATGCTTGGTTGCATGGGCACCAGACTAAATCGCAGCCATCTCACATGCTACATTTTCTAGTCGACTAAATAATAGACTCATCACACAGTGAGTTCAAGAACGTGACCAGGTGCTGCCTTCCACTGCATGGCTCGTTGCATGGGCACCGGATTGATTTGCAGCCATCTCACATGGTTGACCAGGTCAACGCATCACTTCTTTCCCCATTACCTGGTTGACTAGGTCAACGGCAATGACAGGGCCGTAGATCTCCTTAAGCCCTCTAAGATGCTGCCTCAAGGGCGCCTCAAAGGGTTGCTGAGGGTTGAGAAGAAAGGGAAGGGGGGGGGGGAGAGAGGAGGGGGCGTGGGGTAGGGGAGGAAAGGATTATTGAGTACACCAAAAACCGACAGCCCCGGTAGGTCTCTTTAGGCTTTAAGATGATGCCTCAGGGGCGCCTCAAAGGGTTGCTGGGAGGTTGCGGGGGGAAGAGGGGAGGGATGTTAGTGGGAGGAAAGGGTGGGTGGCGTTGGGCGTTGGGCGTTGGACTCAGGATCGACTGGAAAGGGGGAGGGCCTTTGAGGCGCCTCAAAAGTTAGTGGGAGGAAAGGGTGGGCGACGTTGGTCGTTGGACCCAGGATCGACCGGAAAGGGGGAGGGCGAGGCGGGTGGGGCATGCAGTGACTTTTGAGTCGACTCAAAAGAGGGGAGGGATGTTAGTGGGGGGAAAGGGTGGGTGGCGTTGGTCGTTGGACCCAGGATCGACTGGAAAGGGCGAGGGCGAGGCGGGTGGGGCATGAGGAGAAGCGGTAGCATGTTACATTACAAGTGGGTAGAAGAGTGTGAGAGAAGGTGCAGTGCAGTGCATGGGGGTGTTGGTGGAAGATAAGGCAAAGGTGGAAGGAAGGTACTCGGGAAAAGATCCATGCAGTGCTTTATCACGTATCCCATGGAAACATAATGCATATCTGGGGCGGAGCGGAATATATATATCACAATCTAAAGAAGCCGTGGCAACGGTTTAGTTGGATATCACCTTGTGCGAATCCTAGAGAGCCCTGCACATGAGCCCTGCACAGCACATGGGCTCTGTGCTCTCTTGGAACTTTGGGGCATATCTTACTGCGGCTGTGACGACGGTCTGGAGCTTGGGCTTGTATGTGAGGTTGACAATATAAGACCAGTGGAAAAGGCTTTATCTGTACTTGAACTCTTTGCTTTCAAACCGCAGAAGCATCTCTCTTACCGCGGCTGTGACGACCGTCTGGAGCTTGGGCTTGTACGTGAGGTTGACGATCTAGCCCCTGTGGAAAGGCTTATCTGTACACGAGCTCTTTGCCCTCACTCAGGTCTAGGAAGCATCTCTCACCTCGGCTGTGACGACCGTCTGGAGCTTGGGCTTGTACGTGAGGTTGACGATCTAGCCCCTGTGGAAAGACTTATCTGTACACGAGCTCTTTGCCCTCACTCAGGTCTAGGAAGCATCTCTCACCTCGGCTGTGACGACCGTTTGCAGCTTGGGCTTGTACGTGAGGTTGACAATCTAGCCCCTGTGGAAAGACTTATCTGTACACGAGCTCTTTGCCCTCACTCATAGGAAGCATCTCTCACCTCGGCTGTGACGACGGTTTGGAGCTTGGGCTTGTATGTGAGGTTGACGATCTGCTCCCACAGCACCGGGATGGAGCCCCTGATCTGGAAAGGGGAGCGGGGGTAGAGAGGAGAGTGCAGGATAGCAAGCAAGAAGCATTCGAAGTGAGGTGCTTCAACGCAAGGTGTGTGTGGAGTTGACGATCTGCTCTCACAGTACAGGGATGGAGCCCCTGACCTGAGAGACGGGGGAGCGAGGACAGAGCGGGCGAGAAGAGGGGAGGGCAGAGGGGAGGGAATAGAGGAGAGGGCAGGGTAGCAAACAGGCAGCGCCTGAGAGCAATGTGAGTGAGCATGTGCATCCCTGATCAATCAGGGTCAACGGTCTGCTCCCCTCCCACAGCACAGGGATGGAGCCCCTGATCCGTGATGCAGCACAGCGCGCTGTCTTTATTGTGAGGAAGCATCATGTCTACCGCAGGCAAATGTGCGCCCTGCCCTGCTCAGCTCACCTGCACGCCCAATGCACCCTGTTCACCTGCACGCCCAATGCACCCTGTTCACCTGCACGTATGACGCAACAGCACCCCCGTCCACCGTCACCAATTGCTCTGTTCCAACTGAACCACAATCATTTAACAAAAATCGTGTGCGCCCTCTGCATGCCATTCATATGCACTGCGCGCCCAGCACAACCCACTCACCTGCACGTAGGATGCAACAGCACCCCCGTCCACCGTCACCACTTGCACAACTGAACTACGATTACCACAGACAGGAAAACGTGCGCCCACCGCAACCAGCTCACCTGCACGTAGGATGCAACAGCGCCGCCATCCACCGTCACCACTTGCTCCGTCTCGACAAAGTTGGCCACTGCGCCCTTGCTGTCTGCACCTCGGCGCCACATGCGCGTGCCTGCAGGCAGGGGAGAGAAAAGGATATGAAGCAAGGAAAAAGGAGGGCAGGAGATGAGTGAGTAGATAGCACAGTTGGCCGCAGCGCCCTTGAAATCCGCACCCCTTTGCCACATGCGCGTGCCTGCAAGGTGGAAGAGAAGAGAGTGAGAGAAGAGAGTGTCATGCGGGAGAAAAAGGTGGAAGGAGATGTGAAGATAGCAGCGTCTGGCACAGCACTTTTGGAGTCAGCACCAATGCACCACATGCGCGTGCCTGCAGCATCAGATTCATGATGTGTGCAGTGCACTTATTGTTGCAGCGGGTATCACGTGTGCCGAGGCCCGCAATTACGGCTACGCACTGTAAAGCACATGAATGGGACGAGTCTTTAAGTTCCAGCATTTAGTGCTGCATGCACCGGGCTCACCGATTCTGTCGACACCACGGCGAGCGATGAGGGTGACCTCGACTGGACACTTGTTGATTGCTGATTGGATGCTGGCGAAACGTGCTCGGTCGATAGGCGCACAAAATTACGGACATGAGAGGGAAGGAAAACGGAGTGAGGGAAAGGGGAAGAGAGGGAGGGTGGGAGGGAGGAGAGAGGGAAGGAGGAGAGCGAGAGGGAGAAACAACTCCAGGAGAAGGTGTACGAAACGAGGGCCCCCAGTGAAGGGGGAAGGCAGTGGTCATTGGCCAACCGGCAAGAGAAGAGCAGGGAGAGAGAGATGAAGAGAGAGATGAAGAGAGAGGTTGAACAACAAGGAAATGGAATGGAACAACCAGGAACACAGGCAGGAAAAAGAGGAGGGAAGGCGCTTGGTTAAGGAAACGTTGGCCTGAGAATATTGCAATAAACACAAGAGCAAGTGACAAGAAGATGGGACACTGGTAAATTGATAAGGGCAGGACGGCAGTAGACGAAGACAAGCAGTCAGACAGGGGGACAAGAAGCGGGATTGAATGTCCAATGGATGGCAATTACAGAAATGGATGATTGAAAGGTGCAATGGTGGAAGGAAAAGAGGACCGAAGCCAGGGTGGTCGGGTTGGGGTGGGTTTTAAAGCAAGGGCGGAGGAGGGGCGTTGAGAGGATATTTCCTTGCATGACGGGGACGACAAAGGGCGCAGCCTGCAAGACAAGAGACATCAACAGTGGGTTGGGGTGTCAGGGTAGATAGAGGGAGGGGAACAGGGGGGGAAATGAAAAGCACAGAAACAGGAAGGCGGAGAGGCAAAGTGAGAGGGTGTTGAGGACATTAGAAGCAAGGCAGCTGGTGTGAGGCAGCTGGTGTGAGGCAGCTGGTGTGAGGCAGCTGGTGTGAGGCAGCTGGTGTGAGGCAGCTGGTGTGAGGCAGCTGGTGTGAGGCAGCTGGTGTGAGGCAGCTGGTGTGAGGCAGCTGGTATGGGGCAGCTGGTGTAACCCAGGTGGTGTGAGAGAGGGTGGACGTGGAAACTTTGGGGCTTTATTGGTGTCTCGCGGGGAACCACTGTATACTAACCTTGGGCCAGCTCATATCGAAGACAAACAGGTTATTGCTGACCTTGGGGCAAAATATATGAAAGCTGAGAACAGTCTGATGCTCACCTCCGGGAAGCTCACGGCTCGCTGCTGGAGATGCAGATTCCAGTTTTGAGTCGACTCAAAACATGATTGCTGACCTTGGGGCAAAATATATGAAAGCTGAGAACAGTCTGATGCTCACCTCCGGGAAGCTCACGGCTCGCTGCTGGAGATGCAGATTCCAGTTTTGAGTCGACTCAAAACATGATTGCTGACCTTGGGGCAAAATATATGAAAGCTGAGAACAGTCTGATGCTCACCTCCGGGAAGCTCACGGCTCGCTGCTGGAGATGCAGATTCCAGTTTTGAGTCGACTCAAAACATGATTGCTGACCTTGGGGCAAAATATATGAAAGCTGAGAACAGTCTGATGCTCACCTCCGGGAAGCTCACGGCTCGCTGCTGGAGATGCAGATTCCAGTTTTGAGTCGACTCAAAACATGATTGCTGACCTTGGGGCAAAATATATGAAAGCTGAGAACAGTCTGATGCTCACCTCCGGGAAGCTCACGGCTCGCTGCTGGAGATGCAGATTCCAGTTTTGAGTCGACTCAAAACATGATTGCTGACCTTGGGGCAAAATATATGAAAGCTGAAAACAGTCTGATGCTCACCTCGGGGAAGCTCACGGCCCGCTGCTGGAGATGCAGGTTCCAGAAGAAACGGTCGTCCACCTGCTCGTAGTTGTATTGTTACCCCCCGGCACGTACCCCACATAGCATAACATCACGCAACATAACACAACACACGCAGCACAAGCAAAGACTTCGAGAATTTTCAGAAGAGACAGTTGTCCACCTGCTCATAATATCCCCCCAGCACGTGTCCCACATAACATGACACAGTATAAACGCATGTGAATGTATTTCCAAGCAGGGCATGGGTCAAGCAGTGGATACACAAGCACGGACGACAAAGGCACTGACAGGAGGTAACAAGTGGTTGTATTTCCGGGATCACATAACTGCATGCATTGGCACATGCAGTGCAGTGCAGCTTACCTGCTTGGTACGTGCCGTGCAGTGCAGTCAGTGCAGCTTACCTGCTTGGTACGTGCAGTGCAGTGCAGCTTACCTGCTTGGTACGTGCAGTGCAGTGCAGCTTACCTGCTTGGTACGTGCAGTGCAGTGGAGTCAGTGCAGCTTACCTGCTTCCACAGGGGCTTTGGCCCAGCAGGTTCAGCTAGAGCCTCCCTCTGTAAGCTGCACGCATGTCATGTCATTATGTACCAAGTCAAGTTGTTACACAAACACAAACACAGACACCAACACAGACACAGACACAATGTATCATAATTTTGACAAACAATCACAGAGCATAGGTGATGGTGCTTCTCACGTGACTCAAAGATTGAGCCTTTCGCAGCTGCATAACAATCTGATCAGTGGAGCACAATGCGCCTCGATTATGCATAAGCCACACAGAAACACAGAATACGCCTACATACACACACACGGCGAACGTTTCGGGATGCAGAACCCAAACGCACCAGGGAATGAAAGAGAATATGACAGAATTGAAGACGGGGCATGCTGGACGAGGCGTGCAGTTTCGTGGCTTATTGAGTCATATCAATACTGATGATGACTTCAGCACACCTGGTGGTGATGTCAGCGCCGTAGGAAAAGAAGAGTCCGTGAGCTGACAGGGCGGAGCGCAGGCGAACAAGGTACTCCTCCTCGTCCGCTTTCTGGGGGATAACGGCATGATGGGTGCATGATAGGTACATTGGTGGGTACATGATTATGGGATTACAATGCAGACAGTATTATTTAGAATACTCAATAAGGCCATGAGCTGACATGGGTGAGCGCAGGCGAACGAAGCACTCCTCGTCCGCTTTCTGGGGGATGATGGCATGATGTGCATACAGAGCAGAGGTACTATGGTTGAGCATCAATCAACCATGTACATAGAGGCTGGGAGAACGCAAGAAACATTTCTCATCAACAGCCATTCAATTCAAGTTAGAAAAGAAACCATTATGACGGGTGTAGCTCCCTCCACCCTTAACCCTTCCTACTTTCTTCCCTCCCCTCCCTCAACTTGACTTGTGCTCTCATTCCTCACTAAATCCTCTGCTCCCGTTACACTCAAGCCCTGTTACACTTCACTTTCGTTACAATCACGCACGCACCTGCTTGGGCGTGAGGGAATCCTTGGAGCAGCATGGCACAATGTCGAAGGCGGTGGCTCGGAAGACGTGCGCACCCTTGAACGCGCCGACGAGCTGCCGGTTCGTGACCAGCAGCACGTACGTGCCTGATGGTGAACCATGAAGGGGCGATCAGTGAGGAGAACAGTGAGGAGAACACTGAGGAGAGCAGTGAGGAGAACAGTGAGGAGAGCAGTGAGGAGAACACTGAGGAGAGCAGTGAGGAGAACAGTGAGGAGAACAGTGAGGAGATCAGTGAGGAGAACAGCTTTTGAGACGCCTCAAAAGGCGCCGACGAGCTGCCGGTTCGTCACCAGCAGCACGTACGTGCCTGATGGGGCAATCCGTGAGGAGAACAGTTAAGGGTAGAAAAGTGAGGAGAACAGAGAGGAGAACAGTAAATGGTGGAATGAGGAGAACAGAGAGGAGAACAGAGAGGAGAACAGAGAGGAGAACAGGAGAAGGGAGAAAGTTGGGGAGAACAGAGAGAACAACGAGGAGAAAGGAACCGGGAGCGGGGGCGGGAGGGGAGGGGAGAGGGGTGGACGCGATTGGACAGACTGAGAGCGTTGCGGGTAAAAAGCGTGCAAACGGGTGAAAACACGCCGTGGGAGTGAGAACCCACCTGCGAGCAGCTCGATGAAGCCCAGGAGAAGGCACGCCGACTTGGGCTCTGCGACCGTTCCGGCAAGCGACGGCTCGCCTGAAATGTCAGGGAGCGGAGGAAACACGGGGGACGGGGGTGGAGATTGAGTCGACTCAAAAGGCGACCGTTCCGGCGAGCGACGGCTTGCCTGAGACGTCAGGGAGCGGAGGAAACACGGGGAACAGAGGCACATTCGTCAGAATGTGTGTAGCGAGGTTTAATTTGTGAGACTAGACAAGACGGAGAAATGCACGAGCCGCCACGGAAGATGTAATAATGCGAAACTTGAGAAAATAACGGACAGCTGGCCTTCGTATAGCACATGGGCACGCGCATGCAGTTGCTGATGAGATTCGAAAAAGTGCGCAATTCAGGTCATACACAAGCGAAGGCAATGCTATAAGCAACTGGAATGCCATGCGAGGAATAACATCACATGTCGCCCCTATCTGCCCGCTGTCAATCTCGCAGATCGCACGCAACAGGCCGTTGGATGTACCGACCAAAGCCTGACGGATTGCCGAATCTCCGCCGTTCGCATTGCAAAGACTTTCAAAACTATAACGCGCACAATCCGCTCCGTCTCTCCTTCGCCAAGAACCGATTCCGTCATTTTTGCTACCGGAAAGTGAGCGGTTCCCTTAGGCATTGGTATCCAAACTGTCGCCTTCGCATTGCCAACGCTATCAAGTAAAACGCGAGAGATCTACGTATAAGAATGCAGCATTTCTTGAAGCAAGCCCAGCTGCTGCTGAGAGCCAACCTTTGCAAGGAAACGGGCCTAGATCACCCGAAACTACAGTACCGCCGGCGTCGTTCTCTCTAAGCGAAATTTGGTAAGCTCATTGAGGGAGTGGCTGGACAGGATAATGGCCGAAATATGCAGGCTTGTCACCAAGGTCTACATCCATGTGTCAGTAGCTGTACCTCCGACGCTCAGGCTGCCGTCAGATCGGCTGATGGCGAGGCAGCTGGTGGACGCATCCAACGGCTCCAGTAGCAGCTGGTCGGGATACTGCCAGACGCGGAATCCCGTGCATAGCGCCGGAACTGGGACACCCATGCTTCCTGACGCTTAAATTTCAGTCGATTTATGTCAATAAAAACTCCCAAGGAATTTCTATGGAAGCGCTCTGAGGTGGGACACTGAAGCTGCTGCACAATGCACCCTGGAGGGATGCGGATCCAGAACAGGAATGCTGGTCTGGATAAGAATCACCACGCTTCAAGAGTGAAGCTGGAGACACGGGTTGGACGACTGAATTATCGTCCCAGCCTGACCTATCTTCCCTTTCAAGGAACCTTGGAACCTCCGATCCTCTGGCCTGTGCCTGCCTGAATTTCTCCTCCCTGACTGTGTGTGCAGTATCCGAATATCTGAGTTTCCCAGCCAAGCAGAGATACATACGGCAAAAAGGTGCCCCTTTCAAAACTCAGCGCTTTCCAGAATTTCAGAAACCAAGGGAATGGCTTGGTTGGAGGAACCAAGGGATTGGCTTGGAACGGCATGGCACGGCATGCCCAAGCCCAAGGTGCAATCATCCACCGGCCAAGAAGAATGCGAGGTGCTCACGCAGCAATCAGCGCTGGACTTGAGCACGGTGCTGCTGGACTTGCGCGGAGCTGGGAGTGTCGCGTGGAGGTGCAAGAGTTGCGCGGCTATAATTCACAGCAGGTGCTGGCGGAGGATCTGTGTGGTGTGGGGTGGAGCTTTCTCGTGGTTGGTGGCGTGGCGCCGCGGTGCCACCACAGATGGCGATGGCGAGGAGGCAGCAACGAATCAGCGACAACTTTGAAACGCGGGAAGATTCGTCAAAGCACCTGATTCCAAAATTCAAGGGCAAACCAGCTGCGGGCAAACATCCCACCAAACTTCTGTACCCGCTTTTAGCTATTATTCACCACAAGCCCGTCGGGAAAACTAGTTACATAGGATAGTCCCAGAATATACTCTCATTTATGGAGGCTTGAAACATCTCTGGTATAAATCATAGGCCGCTCAGTAATTGCTATGATGATTATTGCATACCGAACAAATAAATGTGTAGCACCTGCGCATATATGTTGCAGAAACAAATATGCATGTGTCCAAATAGTAGTAAGGTAAAGATCACAACAAAATTGCATCCCACTCTGCCCAAGCACCCCTGCCCTTTTTCCTTACAGATATTCCCTCCACTTCCGACCCCTTCCAGCAAGCACTCCTAGGGTGTTCTGACCTTCCGCACAGAAACTATCAGGCCCAAATCCGGCTTCTCTTTGAGAAACTTTGGAACGACTCTTATTGAACCGCAGCACCTAATCTCCACCTGCCAGAGCCTTCGCAATCGCCTCAAGGACCTGGGTAACTCGGTCATTCTTGGCAGGGTAGTCAGCTGTAGCCACTCAAGTGACGAGAGCAGCCCAATATTGGTCGGCAAATGCTTGAAATTCCCGCATTCTTCGATCACGAGCTCCGATAAGCGGCGAAGATAGGGAAAAGAACTGGGTAGCTCGCGGAGCAGGTCGCAATATTGCAGGGTTAATCGCTCTAGGCGAGGCAGCTGCCCGGAAGATTGTGGCAAGTCCGCAAGTCTACGAAGGTTAGAAAGTTTCAAGGTATGGAGACTGGAGAGGTTGTCAAACGTAGAGGGGAGGGAAGGAAGGCGATTGCAGGAAGAGAGATCGAGCGAGGTGAGGGAGGACAGGAGGGGAAGAGAGGGTGGTAGAGCTCTGAGGTTATCTAGCTGTGAGAGGTGGAGGGAGGTCAGGCGGGGTAGAAGGCCGATGGTTGCAGGCAAGCGTCTGAGGGATTCACATTCTTTTATGGAGAGTGACTGTAACGAATGCATGGTGGCCATGGAGTGCCTTGATTGGCGTTCACATGCTGATCTTACTGAATCAATCCTCTGCTTCTTTGCTGCTGCCAACCCCTCATACCCCCTTTTTCCCTCCTCCCCCACATTCCCCTCCTCGCCCTTCATACCCCTCTCTGACCTTTCCGAATCAATCCTCTGCTTCTTTGCTGCTGGCAACCTCTCATCCTCCTCCTCATCCCCCTCCTCATCCTCCTCCTTCTCATCCTCCTCCTCATCCTCCTCCTCCTCATCCCCCTCCTCCCCCTCGCTCCCCTCCTCCACCTCATCGCCCTCCTCATCCCACTTGTCCCACACGTTCCTCTTGGCCCTCTCATCCCTTTCATCCTCTTCCTCGTCCCCACCATTCCCCTCCTCAACTTCCTCCTCCTGCTCCTCCTCCTCCTCCGTGCCTTCCTCTCCTGGAATCTCTTTCACAACAGCTACCAGTGACTTGCAACCTTCGATATGAAGGCATTCCAGAGAGGAAAGAAGGCAGAGCGAGGAGGGGAGCGAAGAGAGCATGGGGCAATGACTGATGTGCAAGTGAGTGAGGGAGGGAGCGAGGAGAGAGGGTTTCCGGGATGGAGGAGACGTTAACGAGATGTGAGAGAGTGAGGGTGGCCAGGGAGGAGAGTGAGAAGAGGGAAGGCGGAAGGTGTGTGATGTGGGGGTTGTGCCACAGGTCGATGTGAAGTGCCCGCAGCGACGTCACCGCACTCAACCCCTCTAGCGCGGCCGGCTCAGCAGAGGTGGAAAGCAAGGCGTTTTCGGCGGCAGCAGCAGCAGCAGTAGTGGCAGCCGCACCATCAGCAGCAGCAACAGCAGCAGCAGCACCACCACCATCAACACCAGCAACAGCAACAGCAGCAGCAGCAGCAACACCAGCAACAGCAGCACCATCAGCACCAGCAAAAGCAGCACCCGCGCCAGCAGCAGCAACAGCAGCAGCAGAACTAATTGCTCTTATAGGGCTCCCATCGAGGGGTGCCCTTAGCACCGGTGTCTGGCTGTCGGCGCCAGCAGAACTGCTCTCAGAATTGGTATCGCCTGTCATATTCGTAGTCATTGCATCACTAGCAGTACTGGTTACATCGGCAGCGGCGGTTAAATCAGCCGTGCCGGTTACATCAGCGGTGCCCCGTACGTCTGCAGTGCCGATTGCACCAGCGGCACTAGAAATGGTTGCACGACCTGATATAGTAGCAGTGCCGCTTATGGTGGCAGTACCAGCCAACAATGCAATACCGCGTATAAAAACAGTGCCGGTTATCACGACCATGCCGGTAGAACCATCTTCGCCTGTTATCCTCGCAGTGCCGGAAACAGTAGGAATGTCAGGTTCGGCAGCAGGGTCGGCTGTAGCAGCAGCAGAGTCGGATGTAGCGGCAGAGTTGGTTGAAGCAGCAGAGTCAGTTGTAGCAGCAGGGCTGGCTGTAGCAGCAGCGTTGGGAGTGATTTGAGGCGGCGGGCGGCCGAGGGAAGAGAGTCGGTACAGGGTCAAGTGGTGGAGGGATGTGAGGCGGGAGAGGAAGGACGGGAGGAGGGAGAGGCGGACGCATTGCGAGATGGTCAGGGAGCGGAGAGAGGGGAGAGGGGCGGGGGAGGAGGGAGGAGGCGGCGAGGGGGGGGGAGGAGACACGTCAGCCTCCGATGCAGTGTGGCAAGGAGGCATCGTGGCGGCATGAACAGTATTATCCCCTTCAAAGAGTGCCTCCATACGAGCGTTATAGTCCACTTCCAGATGCTGCAGCAACGGCAGCCATTGCCAGGCATGGGGCAGGGCTGACAGGCGCTTACAGCGGCACACACGCAGCCTCGTGAGCGATGGAAGGAACACCAGGATGGGAGATCTGCCTCTGCTCCTGCTGCTGCTGTTGGTGGCAGCGCCGGTGGCGAGGTGAGGAGCTGTTGCTTCCTGGGAGGAGCTGTGGCTGCCTGCAGTCGCTTCACTGAGTGGTGAAGGAAGAGGAGGAGAAGGGAGAGTGGTGAGAGAGGCACAGCCGGAAAGGTGCAAGGAAGAAAGCGAGGAGAGAAGCGTGAGGGAGCAGGGAAGCGCCTGCAGGGAGTCACACGAAATGATGCTGAGGTCGCGGAGAGAGTGGGAGAGGAGGTGGAGGGAGGAGGGGAGTGAGGAGAGGCGTGGGAGGCCGGAGAGAGTGAGGGAGCGGAGGTTGGGCATGAGAGAGAGCTCGTCTGGGAGGGAGGAGAGCGAGGAGCAGTCCGCTAGAGTGAGGTGGGCCAGGGACGGAGATAAGGCAGCGAGAGTGCTCCCTGAGATTTCGCTGAGTTGTCCCCAACTGAATAACTCCAGACATTCTAATCCCTGGCATAACCCCTCCGCGTACTCCTTACGATCAACCCCGCTATAAGCCTCCCTTGTGCCCCGTTCCAGAATTCCCCCAGAGTTTCCATCGGCTTCTGTTGCGGCTGCGGTCTCCCCGGACGGGGGAGCGGCGGCTTCTGCGGCGGGAGGGGGATCAGCGGCGAGGATCGCCGGCAGCGAAGCGCGCAGGCTTGGGAGATAGCCGAGGGTGAGCGCGCGGAGGCGGGGGAGGCGCGCGGGGAGGCGCAGGGGAATGGCGGAAATATAATAGGACTCGCGGAGCTCGAGGGACTCGAGAAGGGGGAGCGCGGCGGGGAGGGTTGCGGGGAGGGAGCGGAGGAAATGGCGGGTCAGGGAAAGGTGGCGGAGGGAGGAGAGTGTGGAGAGACGAGGTGGGGGAGTAGGGGGGTTGTGTGGGAGCGGGAGGGAGGTGACTGGAAGAATCGACGAAGCTTTGTTCTTCTGATCCGAGTCGCTGTTACTGAAGTCCTCGTCTGACGACCATTCGTCGTCAGGATAGTTGTCTGATTGGTTAGAACGACCTCCGTCAACGTCCGTTCCCGTTGAAAAGCAGGCTGGAAGTTTCGACAGGGATTCCGAGCGAATAGATAGACGGACGAGAGCGGAGAGCTGACAGAAACCGTCAGGAAGGCGCCTCAGTCCATACCCAGTGATCACCAGCGCCGTCAAGTGATGTAACTCGCAGATTGACGGAGGGAGGCGGGTCAGATTAGGCGGGCAGTGCAGCTGCAGAGACTCGAGCCGCGGGCAGGAGGAGAAAAAAACCGCCAGCCCGGCAGCAGTGAAAGAAACCCGGGGATCCCATTGAGGCCCTTTCGTCGCAATGCCTCTGAGACTAGGAAGCAATCGCGGCTCGCCCATGTCTCCCAGGTGGAGTTGAACGAGGGATGGACACGTGGCAGCTAGCTGGGTCAAGAAATGATCGTTGGCCAATGAGAGGCTGCCGTTTGGCAGGGTGAGCGATCTCAGCGACGGGAACGAAGGGAGACCTTTCAAGAAACGTCCGGTGCACAGCCGACGGTTCTGCGACAGTGCGACGTGCGATCGAGTCGCGCATGCGACGCGGTGCCAATGGCGACAGACGAGAATGAAGCTACCCAGAAGATTCGATTTCGACCGCCATAAGGGCTTCAAGTCTATGCTCGGTGGACTGAAAAGCGGCCGATTTCTATCTGATTCGACGTAGCGAAACACAAACCCTGAGTTCTGACCACGAGATTGCTGCTGCGGATGGGGAGCTGAGGAGTCGACACGTGGCGTCGGTGCAACGTAGCTGAAGATTCGACCGAGCAGATCGTCCGACAATTGATGGATCGAAGCTGACTCTATAGCGCTGGCTTCTACCGCCTGGTTGGAATCGACCATTGCTTCCATGTCTAGAGAGGTCGGTATGGAGGGCTCAGAAACTAGTTGGCAACGGGATTTGGTTTTTGGGATTTTCGAGCCTAGAGCTAGGTGATCTCATTCATGTTGTGGATGAGGAGGAAGCAGACGCCGCAACATTACCACACAGAATCGCACCGTACCACAGTGTACCGTGCATGACCAGAATCCCAAATCAGAATGGCCCATTGGGAGTGCTTCGTCGTAGTGTATAGTCATGCGGACTACACCGCACATTGATTTGACCGCAAGTGTAGAGAACGGTCCTTATGTTACGACCTGGTCACTGCTTTGGTAGGATGCTACTGGTCTTGATGGCGTGCGGTATATGATCAAGAATCAGACCTCTAAAGCGGTTGAAAGTAAGTAAACTCATTTTATATGCAGACGATAGTAGCACCAATGCCTACAACATTGCACCAATCTAGGCGGACTGCCTTGCTCGCTCAATCAATGGTCGAAGCTGCTTCTTCTCGGCGAGAATCTTGAGGAAGTTGAAGAGGAAGGGAATGTAGTTGTGCTTCCTGCGAATGTTCTCCGTCCGCCATCGCCGGTACTTCTCCTCCTCTCCTGCTATCGAATCTGGAAAACAATGGTGGTGAGAGGGGGGGGGGGTCGGGGGGAGGGTTCAAAAGCATTTATATAAACGAGAGTGTTTCCCGTCGTCCATGTCTCCTCCTTACCTGTTATTGAATCTGCCAAGACAGTGCGGAGGGGGGGAAGAGGGGAGACGGTGGGGAAGGTTGAAAAGCTAAAAAAAAAAAACACACACACACACACACACACACACACACACACAACGATAGGCTGCAAAACAAGTCTCTCCCACTTTGCACATGCCTGCCCGCCTCCCACTTTGCACTGCCTCCCCGCCTCCCACTTTGCACTGCCTCCCCGCCTCCCACTTTGCACATGCCTCCCCGCCTCCCACTTTGCACTGCCTCCCCGCCTCCCACTTTGCACTGCCTCCCCGCCTCCCACTTTGCACTGCCTCCCCGCCTCCCACTTTGCACTACCTCCCCGCCTCCCACTTTGCACTGCCTCCGCACCTCACCATCTCTCACCTTGCACAGGCCTCTCCATCCCTCTTCCCTTATAAGGCGCCACAACTGGGGTCTCACCCACCTTGCACGTGCGCCATCTGCATCTCAATCTCCGCCAATTCCCCCTCCAACGCCCCATCGGCCCCATCCACCTCCATTCCCCCTCCCCCTCCCCCTCGCCGCTCAATCTCCCCCAACAGCCCCTCCTTCCGTGCCCTCAGAGCCCCCAGCCGCTCCTCCAGCGCCTCCTTCCTGTTGCGCACCACAGCCATGAGGTTGAACCGGATCTCACTCTCTGCGTACTTGTCAATGCGCTGCTGAATCACCGGCTGCACCATGCGCAACCATGCCATGTCATCCTCCTCCTCCCCCTCCCTCTCGCCTTCCTTGTTCCCCCCCTTGGCTCCTGCCCCTCCTCCTTCTCCCCCTTCCATGCCTCCCTCTGGTTTCACGTCTGTTTTTTCCTCTCCTAGATCACCACCCGAACCTTTTCCCGAGCCTGAAATCTCCCCAAGCCGGATAGGTCCGGGCTTGAGCCCGTCCAGTTCATACAGCACCCCATTGATCGGCACGTAGCTGATGAAATGATACACGTCGTCGTCTTTTTCTGCCGCCCGGGCCTCCTCAGCAGCTACTATGGCTTCCGGGCGGCTGAAGCTGTTGTGGGCGGCACGGATCGCCTCACTGTTGTTGATCGCCAGTCCCTTCAGCTCGGGGGGAAAGTCGCGCGTGAAATCGCGGAGTGTGGAGAGTTCTGGACCAATTTCAATGCGGTTGGATGCGTTTAGGAGGATTGATATGATCGCCTGGGTCGCACACGCGTTGCTGATCACCTGAGCAGGGAAGGCCGAGGAGGAGTGTGTGAAGTAAGAAACGAGAAAGGTTATTAATGACAATGCAGTTTTTGGGTAAGCTGCTGCTCCATTCTTGAACTTGACAAACAAACCACTTCTTACCAGAAAGTCCATACAAGTGACAGGTAGAAAGTACATTCTGTTCCATTCCAATCATGCTATATCGAACAACCATACTATCAGCTCGGCTCAGCACTCACACCTGCACTGCTGCAGTGCTGCAAGCAAGCGAAAGGCTAGTTCCCTCTACCGCTCCCGCCCCCTCTCCCTCTCCCGTGCCGCACCCACCCAGACGCACCTGGCTAGCAAAGAACACGTCTGGGGCAGCAGAGTCTGCGACTGTGGGACATGTGTGTCCAGCTCGCCCGCTTGCCAGGACCATCTACACACCTTGCAGCACCCTTTCCTAATACCCTTCTCCACACCATCCCACCCCCACCTGGCTGGCAAAGAACACGTCTGGAGCAGCAGAGTCGGCGACTGTGGGGCGTGTGTCCAGCTCGCCCGGGCGCCACTTGAAGAGGAATATGAGCCCGTACACGGGGCTGGTGTGGAGGGAGAGGGAGGGAGAGGGAGGGAGAGGGAGGGAGAGGGAGGGAGAGGGAGGGAGAGGGAGGGAGAGGGAGGGAGAGGGAGGGAGAGGGAGGGAGAGGGAGGGAGAGGGAGGGAGAGGGAGGGAGAGGGAGGGAGAGGGAGGGAGAGGGAGGGAGAGGGAGGGAGAGGGAGGGAGAGGGAGGGAGAGGGAGGGAGAGGGAGGGAGAGGGAGGGAGAGGGAGGGAGAGGGAGGGAGAGGGAGGGAGAGGGAGGGAGAGGGAGGGAGAGGGAAGGTTATGGAAAGTCAGGTTTGCGTCGGCTCACAAGTTGCCTGGATGCCACTTGAAGAGGAATTTGAGCCCGTACCGTACACGGGGCTGGGGGGAAGAGCGTGGGGAGGGGGAGGCAGAGCAGTAAAGGTGATGGAATCGAGTTGATTCTTGAGTCGAATCAATGGGCGATAAAATGGGATCAGACAGAAAACTATCGAACTCTTAGAACCGTCTTGCCTTCACTTGAGAAGCAAGCTGCAACCGTGCAACGGGCAGCAGAGGAGGAGGCGGAAGGAGTGGAAGAGGGGGCGAAAGAGGTTGTGATTGGACCATGATAGGAAATCAATGGGTAAGGCCGTGTAGAGTAGTAAACAGTGTTTACCCAGCAGGTGCTGCGACTGATAATTCACCTGGTGGTACACAAAGACACCTGAGAGTTCACCTGAAAGTACCTGAGCTGCTTGAGGGCGTCTAGATCCAGACTGTATAGCTCCTCCACCTGAGAGGGAGTGAGGGAGTGAGTGAGGGAGGATGTGAGTGAGGATGTGAGAAAGTGAGGGAGTAAGTGACAGCATGAGTAAGTGCGAGAGTGAGAGGGGAGGAGAGGGATAATGGATGAGCATGAAAAGTTACCTGCATGCCCCATACCTGCACGCCCATACCTGCATGCCCATACCTGCACGCCCATACCTGTACGCCCCATACCTGCGCGCCCATACCTGCACGCCCATACGTGCACGCCCATACCTACACGCCCATACCTGCACGCCCATACCTGCACGCCCATACCTGCACGCCCATACCTGCACGCCCATACCTGCACGCCCATACCTGCACACCCTTCACTTGCATCTGCTGCATCAGCTCCGTGAACACCCCTGGGGGGAGAGAGTGGGGGGGAGTGGGGAGAGAGTGGGGGGGAGTGGGGAGAGAGTGGGGGGAGAGTGGAGAGAGAGTGGAGAGAGAGTGGAGAGAGAGTGGAGAGAGAGTGGAGAGAGAGTGGAGAGAGAGTGGGGAAATCAGAAGTGCTGGTGACACTTGCATCTGCTGGACTAGCTCCGTAACCAACCCTGCGGGGAGAGAGTGGGGGCGCGGGCAAAGGGGTCAGCGTTGCAAGTGCGAATCAGTAGCAGAGGGAAGGGAATCCAGTGAAGGGGGCGGGGGCAAAGGGGAAGAGAGTGGGGGCGCGGGCAAAGGGGTCAGCATTGCAAGTGCGAGCGAATGAGTAGAAGAGGGAATCCAGTGAGGCCAGGCACCGAGTTACACTAGCGAAGGGAGTTCACCACGCAGGTCACCTTCCCAGCCAAAAACCCAGCCAAGCTCCCGGCCAAGCACTACCAACAACTACTGGTGTTGAATCCTAAGTTGCTGCCACGTATCGAATTCAATGGCACCTAACTGGTGTCCTCTTCCGCAGGTCACCTTCCCAGCCAGAAACCCAGCCAAGCTCCCGGCCAAGCACTACGCCAAGAACGGGGCCACACACCGAGCCAAGCACCGAGCCAAGCACCGAGCCAAGGACCGAGCCAAGCACCGAGCCAAGCACCGAGCGAAGCTACTAATCCACGCACGCACCTGGATCCGACTCGATCGTACACCACGACATGATGGCGGGAAACTGGAATTCAACCCCCTAAAGCCGAGCCGCGATTGATCGGGACGACTGCCGGTTGCGTGAGCTAAGGCGCGACGGCAGCAGATCGCGGGGAAACGCGACGCCACGGCAATCGGACGGATGCGATGCGTGGAGCGAAGGACACGCGTTTAGCTGGCTATCGGGATGTCTGGGCTGACAAAGGACACCATATTGAATCTTGCTTCTGCGTAAGGAAACAGCCGCTAATGAAAACGCCGAAACAACATTGATCTCAACAAACTGTACACTTGGGCACCAGAGACACCTTACATTACATTGGGGATGTGACTTACCATAAACAAGAATTACCTTTTTTACGCCAGAAAGAACAATATACTCGACAATAAAATACGAAGCAGGCAAATGATAATAAATGTATTAACTGAAAAAAAATCATTCTCAAAGAACGTGCTCTTATAGATAGTGCAAAATATTGGAATAGAACAACATCATTTTCAAGCATTGATATATGTTATTGTAACCAGCACGCGCGCCAGTTCCTCCCCGCAGCTTCCAGGAAGCGCTGCACGGCCAGAGCAGGCAGCTCGCAGCCGCCCAGATCCACGCCGCCCTTCTTGGCGAGCTTCGCCGCCCCGTGGAAGTCCGACCCGCCGATCTTCAAAAGCCTGTGCGCGTTGGCAAGGCGGCAATACTCTGATGGTGGTGGGAGGGTGGATGGGAGGGATGGATGGGAGGTGGTAGAGAGGAAGAGGGAGGAGAGGGGTTTATTCCCCTTCTTGGCGACCTTCACTGCCCCGTGGAAGTCCGACCCACCGATCTTGAGCAGCAACGGGCTGTACTCTAATGGTGGTGGGACGGGTGGATGGGAGGGTTGGATTGGAGGGGTCAATGGGAAGTGGTAGAGAGGAAGAGAGGAGATAAAGGTTCAGTCGCATCCTATGAAAAGCTTTCCTGCCCCGTGGAAGTCCGAATCACCGACCTTGCACAGCAGCCCGTGTGCATTCGCCAGGAGACAGTACTCTGATGGGAGGTGAGGCAGGGTGACTTTTGAGTCGACTCGAAATTCGTCCGACCCACCGACCTTGCACAGCAGCCCGTGTGCAAGGACATTCTCCAGGCGGCAATACTATGATGGGAGGTGAGGTGAGGCAGCCCTTCACACCTTCCTCGATCTCTTTCCCAAGGTACACCTCTCTGAGGTGACTCATGAACCGACTGAAAAAACTTTCCTGCTACACCTACCTGCATGCCCACCAGCAGCTTAGCGCCACCCACCAACCAACCCACCAGCGCTGTTGATGCCTCAAGTGCACCCCCCTCGGCACCAGCACCCACCTTCCTGCATCTCCTTCGCTCGACGCACCCCCATCCCATGCCCACCAGCTTAGGGGAATCATCAACGGGAGGCAAAACACCCACAGCCCACCCTTTCGAATCTTAGGGACAAAACACCCAGCACCGACCCTCCTGCATCTCCTTTGCTCGACACACCCCCATGCCCACCAGCCCAGCGCCCGCCACCCGCTTCAGAGCACTCAGTGCCAACCTTCTAGAAAAGCCACGTGCAGAGAGGGTGTTTTCAAGACGTCTCAAAAAAACCCTCTCTACACCCGCTTCAGAGCACTCAGTGCCAACCTTCTAGAAAATCATGAAAAGGACATAAGGCCCATAGCACCCACCTTCTTGAATCTCCTTTCCTTGATACACCTCCGTGCCCACCAACCAAGCCATAAGCAGCCCAGCACCAGCCCAGTAAGCTTTGATGTCTCGGGTGCAAACCTAAGCTTCACCCACCTTCCTGGATCTCCTTGCCTCAACACACCTCCATGCCCGCCAATGCCTTTCCAAAGCACTCAGCACCCACCACCTGGAACATCATAAGGAAGAGCAAAGGCCCTCACAACCCACCTTCCTGAATCTCCTTCCCCGCGGAACACCTCCATGCCCACCAGCCCGGCGCCCGCCACCCGCTTCAAAGCCCTCAGCACCCACCACCTTAAAACACATGGGGAAGAGCAAAGGCCCTCACCACCCACCTTCTTGGATCTCCTTGCCGCGGTACACCTCCATGCCCACCAGCCCAGCGCCCGCCACGCGCTTCAGCATCCCCCTTAGTGCGCTCTCCGGTATTGTCCACGGGTGCGCCAGCACTGCCGCCCCTCCTGCCTCGCTTATAACGCGGATGGCCTCAGCCACTGGGATTTCGGAGCCCCTGTGGAGAGGGATAGGTGTTGGAAAGCGGCAGAGGGGGATAAGAAAGGTGTTGGCTTACTGCTGCCCCCCCACTCCGCCCCGGCCCTCCCCTATAAAGCGGATGGCCTCAGCCACTGGGATCTCGGAGCCTCTGTGGGGAGAAAAAAGTGAGCTAAAAGGGGTGGGTTGGGGATAAGGGTCTTGGCTGCTCTCTTTCTGCTGCCTCCGCTGGCCAGCCGCTGGGGTGAGAAATGGGTGTGGGAAAGCGGCGGAGGGGGACAGTGGGGTTGGCTTCTCAGTTACTGCCGCCACCCCTGCCACCCCTGCCCCCAGTGCCTTGGTTCTGCCCCTCTTGCCCCTCCCGCTCACACACACGTGTACAGACTCGGTGTCAGAAACACAAAAACAGACACGCACACACTCACCTCACATACGCCTTCTTCTACAAAGCCTCTTCTATCTCTACTGCCCGCCAAACCAGCTGCCCGCACTGCCCGCCAAACCAGCTGCCCGCACTGCCCGCCAAACCAGCTGCCCGCACTGCCCGCCAAGCCAGCACTGCCCCCACTGCCCGCGCTGCCCGCACTGCCCCCACTGCCCCCACTGCCCCCACTGCCAGCACTGCCCCCACTGCCCGCACTGCCCCCACTGCCAGCACTGCCCCCACTGCCCGCCAAGCCAGCACTGCCCCCACTGCCCCCACTGCCTGCACCGTCTGTGCTTGAGTCTAACCCTCTCCCCCTCCCTCACTCTCTCACACGCGTGCTCCGATCTCACATGCGCCGGCCCATGGTCCCCTATGTACTTCTGAAACGCCTCCTCCGTGTCCCCCTTTGCCCCCACTGCCAGCAGCACTGCCCCCACTGCCAGCACTGCCCCCACTGCCAGCACTGCCCCGGTCAGTCCCAAGCCCCCCTTGCTCTCAATCACTGCCCGCACTGACCTCACATAAGCAGGCCCATGGTCCCCTATGTATTTTTGAAATGCTTCCTCCATATCCCCCACCGCCCGCACTGCCACCAGCGCCCTCGCCACGTGCACCCTGCCCGGCGCTGTCTTGGGATCGTCCAGTTGCTGATGGGTGAAACGAAGGGTGGGAGTTCAGGAGATTCGGAAATTTAGAGCTAAAGGGCTTATGGTCCCCTATCCTTCCCCCACTGCTCGCACCACCACAAGCGAAATGATGGGTGGGAGTTTAGGAGATTGGGGGAGGGGAGTTATTACAGCACTGCCCCCACCGCCTGCACTGCCACCAGCGCCCTCGCCACGTGCACCTTGCCTGGTGCCGTCTTGGGATCGTCCAGTTGCTGGTGAGGGAAATCAAGGGTGGGAGTTTGGAAAGGTTGGGGAAGTGGGAGGAGAAAGGGTCATTACATAGGCTAATGGTCCTCTCTGCTACCCCCACTGCCCCTAAGCCATGTGAACCCTGCGTGCTGCCGTCTTGAAGGTTCACGAATCACCATCATCTTACCACTCCCGCTCACCTGAATCGCAACCGCCATAGTCGCACCCACGCCCATCCCACTGCTGCCACTACACCATGCCCGTCTGCCTGCCTGCCCACCCACCCGCCCACCCGCCCACTGGCCCACTTGCCTGCCGACCTGCCGCTCTAGCTAGCACACCACCCAGCTCACCAAACTCCACCTTACATCATCATCTCTCTCCTCTTTCCCTCCTCCCCCCCCCCCTCTCTTCTCTCACCTTCATCACATCCGCCATAGTCACACCCACGCCCAGCTGCTGCAGCCGCTGCACCATGCCTGCCGCCCGCTTGTGCCGCCCCTCCCTTATCCCCTCCAACACCCCCACCAGCTTTTTGAGTCCATCTCCTGCCTTGCTCTCCCCTCCTGCACTCCCAGCTACACTCCCTGCTCCTTCTGCTGCACCCTCTGCTGCTCCTTCTGCTGCACCCTCTGCTGCGCCCTCCGCACCCTCTTGGCATGCTAACTTAACTTCTCCTCCCTCCTCTTCCTCTCCTCCATCCACATTGTCATCGACTCGCTGCTTCTTCCCCTCCCCCTCACCTCCCTCCTCTCTCTCCTCCCCATCCTCTCCTTCCTCCCCCCCTTCTCTCCCCTCCTCCCTTCCACATCTGCCCCCCTTCTCGCCCCTCCGCGCATACTGCCACCTCTCTCGCATCCCCAGGGGAGGAAAGTACGCCAACACATGCACCCCCTGACCACCCCTCCCCTCTCTCACCCCCTCTGCTTCACCTTCTCTCCTTCCTTCTCCTTCCGTCTCGATCCCTCCCCCCCCATCTCTACCTCTCTCTACCCCTCTCTCCTCTTCTTCCATCCCATCTCCTCGACTCCCGTTTGCAACAGCGCCCCCTCCTGTTATTTTGGGGGTGTGGCAATCGTAGTAAGCACTCACCTCCACCCCGGGAATCACACACACTCCCACCTCCCGCCCTGCTGCTGTCGCCTCTGGCACTCCTGCCATGCTGTCATGGTCTGTTAGAGCGAGTATCCGAACCTGAGGCGTGGGGGAGTGGATGGTGGTTGAATGAAAAAATATTTGCACCTGCCGTGCTGTCATGGGAGAGAAATGTGGAAGGCGGAAGAGCGTGTGGGGACGGGAAGAGCGTGTGGGGACGGGAAGAGCGTGTGGGGACGGGAAGAGCGTGTGGGGACGGGAAGAGCGTGTGGGGACGGGAAGAGCGTGTGGGGACGGGAAGAGCGTGTGGGGACGGGAAGAGCGTGTGGGGACGGGAAGAGCGTGTGGGGACGGGAAGAGCGTGTGGGGACGGGAAGAGCGTGTGGGGACGGGAAGAGCGTGTGGGGACGGGAAGAGCGTGTGGGGACGGGAAGAGCGTGTGGGGACGGGAAGAGCGTGTGGGGACGGGAAGAGCGTGTGGGGACGGGAAGAGCGTGTGGGGACGGGAAGAGAGGGGAATCTTTACCAGCTGTCGCCACCCCCTGCCGTGATGCCATGGTCAGCTGAGAATCAGCACTGGCGGCATGGCATTGGAAGGCGGAAGATGGATTGGGGAAGGGGTATGATGGGAGGGAGGTGTCGCTGCCACTGCCATATACCCCATGATGTCTGTGGGGGGTAGAATGCATCAGAATTCCGAGTGTTGGGTCTGGTCTAGGAAATGCATCAGGGTTTTGGGCTTAAGGTCTTGTCAAGAAAATGCACCAGTTTTCGAGTTTGGGAGATAATCTCATAGAAAATGTTGCGACCTACCCAGCATGTTGCCTAGTCCTAAGTCACCGACTGCTCGCCTGGCCCTTCTGAGCTGCTGGCAAACCGACCTGCCTGTTGGTCTCAAGCGCAACTTTCCCGAGGTGTCACCTGCCCTATGATATCCTAGTACAGGCCCCAGTGTTAGCTACCCCAGGTGTCACCCACCCCTAGCGTCGCGGCTCGTTTGACGACCTGGGCTGGGGAAAGCGACCCGTCACTGCACGTGCTGTGGCAGTGGAACTCCACGAGGAAACTGCCCGTTTGGCTGCCCGTTTTGCTGCCATGCCGTGCTAGATCACCACCACGTTTGCCCGCGTTGGTTCGAGCGGCGGGTTTCGCTAGAGAGGCAGCGACATTCGGACCCGGTTCGCTAGCTTTGGCCTGTGCGGCGTCTAGGGATTGCCGCGACGCGTCTTCTAGGGATAGCCGAGAAAGTTCCTCTGTGGCCTCTAGGGATTGCCGCCGGAATTCTTCCAGAAAGTCGCCCGCGGCGACGTGTCTCTTTTGCGCCGCTCTTCGCTTACCCTTGTTACCCTTCGCCATACCTAATTGAAATATATTATTGTGTAACTTTCGCTGGTACAGTCTGTTTGCGCGAAACAACGAAATTTAGGACAAGTGAGGTCAGTTGTTACAAACTCGGTTCTATCTCCTAGCGCTAGCAATGCTCATCCCGCCATAGCTGACTGAACAGCCTAAATTTCCAGCAGGTGTGCGAAAATGCAGTTGAGTGTTTTGGGTTCGTTATCAGCCGCAATTTTGATTCTAGTGTAGGCCGATAATCGTATATAATGGGTTCCAGTATATTTCCCGAGGTTCAGCCACTCTCTACCAAAAATAATCGTGACGGGGCCTTCGCCGTCAAACACGGCAAGGACGAGCCGAACCGCGCCAGCTTTGGGGAAACCTGGAAATCGTGCGCTGTCCCACCACGGGATATCATGCCATTTCATTTGCCAGAGCTCCCGTGTTACAGAGTGTTGACGAAATTCTGTTGCACCCTACACCGCCTAAGATCACGACGTCGCCACCACACGTCGTCACCTAGTGTGCTGTACAGCAGCTTTCTAGTTTCGCAAACCAGGGTCGCTCAACTCAATGTTGCTTCGACGCCTTGTTACGAGAGTTCGTCATATAAACTTGGCCAAACCCTGCAATCAGGCTTGTTTTCTCGTGGTGCTCTCCTCACCGTCTACCATAGCACCAGCGAGCTCACGCGAACTAATATAAGTTAAGTACTGACGTCGTGAATCCTCCAGAAAGCGCAACCAATTACCAATATCTTCCGTTTGGCTATTCTAGATAGTGACGGCAAGCCTCGGTAAGACATCTCCTCTGGCTATATTACCAAGGATTCCGGTCACAGAGCCATAACGATTTTCTCTATCGACTGCTTTCGTTGTTTTTTGTTGGTTTTCTTCTCAATTTTAACGCTCTGTATTTTGCTGATTCGTCGCCCAGTCATGCATTTATTTCTCCGCATTTTTCCCAAACACCTCCGCCAGCAGATGGCGATTTTTGTGTACCCCGGAGCGGACAAGTCCACCACTATCATCAGAATCGTCGCGCTGACATTATTTATCGTTGTAGACGTCGCATTCCTCATCTTCCTCATCCTCTACTGCTGTCGCAGTCGCGGAGAGCGGGAAATCCCCGTCGCCCAGTCTGCGGACGTCGAGTCGCAGAAACCTCCGCCGCAGCCCACCAACCCCGCGGCGTAATCGGCGAAAGTACCTGCCTAGGTTGATGCCTAGGTTGATATAGACGGAGGAGATGAACAAGGGATGCGATTGTACAATACGGACGATGCTCGTAAATGCTTGTACGGATGTGGGGTTGGGGAGGGGAGTGACCAGCACGGCGACCACCAACATGTATATCTCTCACAAATCGGAAAAGGCACATTTTTGGCGCTATAGAAGTACGGTAGTATGTGCGTGGATGAGGGTTAACGGGGCTGTGTATGCATGCCAATGCGAAAAAACAGAAAAAATAACAAGCGGGTTGTTACTGACACGCAGGCAAAAGTGGAGAACCACGATTTTTAATCTCTTCTGTAAGCCATCATCGAGAACCCTAGTCTTACGTTATATTCCACAGCGTCGTCCTGTCCAGGGCAAAAGTGGTATATCTTCCAGCGCAGCGATGAGGACTTTCGCACCGCCTCCAGGGAAGCCGTTGCTCATTGATTGCTATTTGCTTTTTTAGACTATTTGTATCCTCTGAAGAAAAAATGACCTGTTTTTCCAGAGTCATCCTTATGGAGTTGTACAGTCTGTGGAAACATGCATGCAAATTTTCGATGGATGCTTTGTTTTTTTAGTTGCATTGGCTCTTGTGTGAGTTTATGAGCGAGTAATGAGCTAATCAGTTCATATGACAAACAAGAGAAAGCTATCACCTGTAGCGTGCAGTTACATTCGTTTTCGCCCTAACCTCGCATGCAGCCTGATATTTCAATTATTGCCAATAATTCCATCGCCTTGCTCAATTTCATTCCTGCCTCCGCAAGTCCCGCTGCGCATCCCACCGAACCGCCGCCACCACCACCACCACCACCCCACAATCAAACCATGTATGCGAAGAATGGCGAAACCAAACCTGGAACGAGACATGGTGTGGGTGTGCTTGCAGTGCGAAGAGTGGCCGTTTTTCGAAGCCCATTGCGAAAACACGAAGTACGGCAACCAGAGTTGTACCTCGGAACTTCATACAAGCAACCAGCCCCTATCGTGATTCCACTTCTGCTTACTTTCAACTTCTCATCCCACTTTAGAGCTGTTGGTTCCTCTCTCGTCACCACGTTTCTTCTCTGTAGAAAGCCAAATCATGCCCTCCTTTTTCCGTCTGTCTCTCACTTGTATGCAGGGTTGCGCCATTGCGTTATACCGTATGTCAGCTTTAAGGAACCGCTTTATTTCGATTCGCTGACTTCTGCCTGGGGAGTCCAATATTGCAAACTAAAACAAGCGTCTAAAACCACATCTCGTTTCACCTGATGACCACTTTTCAAATTTCCTCGTCTCGAGTTTCTCCAGTCATAACCACCACCGCAATTGCAAGAATTACGTTGGCGACGTTCCTCCTCGGCGCCACTCAGAAACTAGTAAGCCTGACTGGCCGCAGTCGTCCACGTTATTCTTAGGTCCGTAACAACCTTCGATCGTAGAAACTCACGTCACATCGTTCACACCTGTCCTCATTCCGTTCACAATATTTTTTGTTTTCTCCCCTTGCAGTGGAGGCCTACTTTCTCAAATGTCGTCCTCATTCCGTTCTCAATGTTCTCCGTTTTCCCCAATTGCAGTGGAAACATACGAGATTCTTCGAATCGTGCTCCTCGCGCTGTTCGCGCTGACGCTTCTCTTCTTTATTATCGACACCACGTGGACCTGCATGCGCATGCGACAAGAGACTGTAACCGCCACCGCGTCTGATGTAGAGTCGCAGAAACAGCCACAACAGGCGAGTGACGCGGAGCATACAAAGGAGGATGTACCAGCTCAGAGTACAGCCGCACCATCTTAGAACGTATCACCTTAGTAGCTTCCTTGAACCAAGAGTTTGCTGCCGTGTTCTGTACTGAAAACAAATAGATGGCGTTACTTTCTCTTAGAAAGTTTTCATTCACTTATCCTTGTATTGGTATGTGAGAACAACCCCTCCTGTACCACATTTTTCCCTGAGTGCAAACCAATGAGTGCAGCAGTCCCAGTGTAAGTAATATCTTTGATCAACATCGGTACGGTACTTGCAATGGGTTGTGTAAATGAAGATGAAGTGACAGATTAGCATGTGCAAGCGTGTGCAATCCTGCTGGCTGGCCAGATTGAGATTGAATGGATTAGAACCAATGAGCAGAGCAGGCATGCTGTGAGCGTTAGTCCAACACAGTTGTGCAATGGAAGTATACGAGCAGCACTGGCAGTCCCAATCAGGCACAGAGCCAACATAGGAGGCCAGGTGGAAGCCAGCTCGCTCTAACTGCTCGTCCACGTGCCGTCTCGCTGCTGTGGCTGCCTCACTTGTGCACTTCAATGGACACAGTTACGCACATGGAAGTAGGAGCAGCACTGGCGGTCCCAGTCAGGCACGGAACCGACACAGGAGGCCAGGTGGAAGCCAGCTCGCTGCAACTGCTCGTCTATCTGCCGTCTCCCTGCTGTGGCTGCCTCGCCCACGGGGAACGACACGAGCAGCTGACACACTGAGAGTGGCCGAGGTGCGGGCGATGGTAGGGGCTGCGGTGATTGTGCTGGTTGTGATGGTGGTGATGGTGATGGTGATGGTGATGATGGTAGTGGTGGCGTGTTTCCTGACGACAATGCATCGTGCATGGCAGTAGCCCAGGCGGCGATAAGAGCAGGGTCGAGATCGGCCACATCCACCTGCAGGGGAGCAAGCAGGCAATTGAGAGGGGCATGACAGGGTTCGTATCACCGTTTGTCGCCCCACAATGGATGGCATGGCATGGCAGTAGCATGGCTGTAGCCCAGGTTGCAATCACAGCAGGGTCCAAATGGTCCACATTCACCAGTGGGTAAGAAGAGCGAGTTATGGGGCAACACAGACGCGCGAGAGTATGTATGGCAGTAGCAGACGCACACGCACACATGCGCGCTCACGCACACACACACGCACGCACAGACGCACACACGCATATGCACACGTACACACGCACGCAAGCACGCACATGCACACGCACGGGATTATGAGATATATCAGAACATGCACGCACATAGCAGCAACATGCATGAAAGCACCACACGCACGTGAAAGCACAACACACACACACACACACACACACACACACACACACACACACACACACACACACACACACACACACACCCACCCACCCACCCACCCACCCACCCTCACACACACACACCCACCCACCCACCCACCCACCCACCCACCCACCCACCCACCCACCCACCCACCCACCCACCCACCCACCCACCCACCCACCCACCCACCCACCCACCCACCCACCCACCCACCCACCCACCCACCCACACACACACACACCCACACACACACCAACCCCCCCCCCCCCCCCCCCCCCCCCCCCCCCCCCCCCCACACACACACACACACCTACCTTGACCACATCCACACGCCACAGCAGCCCATCGGCAACCTCAACCTTTCAGGCGCATCGAAAGTGTCTCACTACCCACGTTTTCTACACACCTCCAAGCCAAGCACGCACCTTGACCACATCCACCCGCCACAGCAGCCCATCCTCGGCCTCGCGCTTGTATTCTTCCTCCCTCGCCACCTCCCCACGTTGAACTCCTTCCCCACCCTGATCCTCCTGCCCCCCCCTCTCCCGCTCCGTGCTGTCCGCTTGCTGCGATTGCTGCGATTGCTGCGATTGCTGCAACCAGGAGGGAGGGCGATGGAGGATGGAGATGGCGGGGAAGAGAGAACGAAGCTCCGCCTCCCAGGTGCCTGAGGTGTCTGCTGGCTTGTGTTCATCCCATTCAGAATGCTCGAAAGGGGAAGGGGTCTCTGCTGCTTTCTGACTGCCCTCTCCCTCCCGCCTGCCCTCTCCCTCCCGCCTGCCCTCTCCCTCCCGCCTGCCCTCTCCCTCCCGCCTGCCCTCTCCCTCCCGCCTGCCCTCTCCCTCCCGCCTGCCCTCCCCCCGCCTGCCCTCTCCCTCCCGCCTGCGCTCTCCCTCCCGCCTGCCCTCTCCCTCCCGCCTGCCCTCTCCCTCCCGCCTGCCCTCTCCCTCCCGCCTGCCCTCTCCCTCCCGCCTGCCCTCTCCCTCCCGCCTGCCCTCTCCCTCCCGCCTGCCCTCTCCCTCCTGCCTGCCCTCTCCCTCGCTTCGGAAAAGCGAGACAGGGGATGCTCTGAACGGGTTTGCAGTGCTACTGTGCGCCTTTTGAGTCGACTGGAAAGTCAAAGTCACCTCACTCTGCTGGAGAGGCAGAATTGTTAACTCTATAGACTGGTTTCTCATGCTGCTGGGGATGTTACCATGAGGGGCAGCAAAGTCACCACCAGGGCCATTGAGTGCCTCACCATCACCACCGTTGATCATACCAGGCAGATCATCACCATCACCGTCAATAACATGTCCACTACTTTTCTCACTCTCCCTCCCCTTCTCACTGAGCAATCGTCTGAGGCCCCGTCTCTTTCTGCTGCCGCTTCTGCTCCCCCCTCCTCTTTCTCGCTCTCTCTCTCTCCTTCTCAGTCTGTAGTTTGAGTCGCTCCTCCCGCCACTGCTTCTCCTCCTCCTGCCCTTGTTCCTCCTATCTCTGCTCCTCTTGCTGCTTACCCACCACTTGCCACTACTGCTCTCCCTGTCACTCCTGCTACTGCTGCTACCACTCCTGCTGGTTGTGCTGCTACTTTTTCTACTTCTGCTGCTGCTGCTGCTGCTGCTGTTCCTGTTACTGCCTATGATTTTTCGTCTGGTGCTGATACTGCTGCTCGTTCCACTGGCGCTGCTGCTGCTGCTGCTACTGCTGTTAGTACTTCTTTTGTTGGTGTTGCTGCTGCTTCTGCTGCTCGTTTCACTGTCGCCAGAGTTCCGATGTGCGTGCATTGGTGTGCTGCTCGCCCCTTCCCTACCGCTTGCGGTCATTGTGACATTGGCGTTGGTAACCGCGTCCGAAACCGGGCGAGAGGAGATGGAGACCACAACACTGCCAGAAAATCAAGCGGGATACATGTGAAAAAGGAGATGCGAGCAGGGTGTTTCAGAAAACGTTTCAGATACCATTCACCGTAGCACTGGTGTTAGCAACTGCATCCCATTCCGGGCGAGAGGAGACGAAGACCACAACACTGCTGCTCAATGGCCACAAGGGATACATCACACATGTATTACAGCATATGACATACTTTTAAGGCGCACAACACACGAGTGCCTGAACCTCAGGAGAATGCTTTCAATGTAGAAAGCGCCGGGAGTAAGACGACTGTTGGACAACAAACAAAAGTCGGTGCAAGGGCACACACACGTGACTGTTGGGATCTCTCCGATGTCTGGGCCCCACCTGAACCACCTGCCGCAAACAAGAACCTACACCAGCACACCTGAAAAAACTCCTGAGCCACCCACCCACCTGAAACAACACCTGACAAACCCACCTGAAAAAACACCTGAGCCAGCACACCTGGTAGAAGAGAGCAGGCGCGTGAACGTGGCAAACTGTCGTGGATTGGTTCCCAGAAGCTTCGTCTCCCCCAGCTGCCCCCGCACACAGAGCGCCAAGGGGGAGGGGGCGGACCACACAGAGGAGAGGGCGCGGAGCTGGGGGGAACAACGGGGTGAAGGGAGGGGAAGGGAAGGGGAAAGTGTGCGCAATCAAAAAGCACCTCACGCACAGAGCGCCAAGGGGGAGGGAGCGGACCACACAGAGGAGAGGGCGCGGAGCTGAGGGGAGGGGAAGAGGGGAGGGGGAGGGGGGGGGGTGGGGATGTTCAGCAATCAAAATGCCTTTATGCACAGAGGCGAGGGGGAGGGCGCGGAGCTGGGGGGGGGGGGGGAAATGGGGAGAGGGAGGGGGAGGGGGAGGGGGAGGGGGGTGTGGGAAAAATTGGCAGGGGTGCGGTAGGTGGGGAATGCCGAGCGATCAAATTAAAGCCTCTTACACACAGTGGCACGGGGGAGGGCGTGGACCACACAGTGGAGAGGGCGCGGAGCTGGGGGGGGAAACGGGGGAAGGGGAGGGGGAGGGGGAGGGGGAGGGGGAGGGGGAGGGGGAGGGGGAGGGGGAGGGGGAGGGGGAGGGGGAGGGGAAGGGGAAGGGGAAGGGGAAGGGGAAGGGGAAGGGGAAGGGGAAGGGGAAGGGGAAGGGGAGGGGGAGGGGGAGGGGGAGGGGAAGGGGAAGGGGAAGGGGAAGGGGAAGGGGAAGGGGAAGGGGAAGGGGAAGGGGAAGGGGAAGGGGAAGGGGAAGGGGAAGGGGAAGGGGAAGGGGAAGGGGAAGGGGAAGGGGAAGGGGAAGGGGAAGGGGAAGGGGAAGGGGAAGGGGAAGGGGAAGGGGAAGGGGAAGGGGAGGGGGAGGGGGAGGGGAGGGAAGGGGAAGGGGAAGGGGAAGGGGAAGGGGAAGGGGAAGGGGAAGGGGAAGGGGAAGGGGAAGGGGAAGGGGAAGGGGAAGGGGAAGGGGAAGGGGAAGGGGAAGGGGAAGGGGAAGGGGAAGGGGAAGGGGAAGGGGAAGGGGAAGGGGAGGGGAGGGGAGGGGAGGGGAAGGGGAAGGGGAAGGGGAAGGGGAAGGGGAAGGGGAAGGGGAAGGGGAAGGGGAAGGGGAAGGGGAAGGGGAAGGGGAAGGGGAAGGGGAAGGGAAGGGGAAGGGGAAGGGGAAGGGGAAGGGGAAGGGGAAGGGGAAGGGGAAGGGGAAGGGGAAGGGGAAGGGGAAGGGGAAGGGGGGGAAGGGGAAGGGGAAGGGGGGGAAGGGGAAGGGGGGGAAGGGGAAGGGGGGGAAGGGGAAGGGGGGGAAGGGGAAGGGGGGGAAGGGGAAGGGGGGGAAGGGGAAGGGGGGGAAGGGGAAGGGGGGGAAGGGGGGCATGTGATGCAACCAATGCCCCTCACACAGAGAGACAACGGGGACAAGCCAGAAGGTACATCACAGAGAAACAAGCCATTCCAGCTGTTTCAGCCGTTTCAGTACCCTCTGGTTCGTTTACGGGGGGGAAAAGATACCAGAAAAGGAATTTAGTATAACAGTGAGGCATCTAGCAGATTACCCTCCCCTCGTACCTGCTCGAAAGATCGCACGCAGAGCGCCACGTCAGCAGCCATGCGGACGACAGCTTGGCGTTGGCGTGCCAGCTCAGCGCCCATGACAGCGTCGTACTGCTGCTGCCACATGTCCTCCCACGGTTGGTGGATGGAGCACATTTCTATCCCCTGAGTGAACGGCCCTGGCCAGTTGGGAGCCGTGTCAGGGATGGCAGCTAGCGCCTGCTCAGCCTGGCAGGTGTGGAGTTTGGAGGTTTGGGGGGGTTGGGAAGTGGGTGAGGAAGATGACGGCACATGTCTATCCCCTGTGTGAACTGCCCCGGCCAGTTGGGGGCCGTGTCGGGGATGGCAGCTAGCGCGTCTTCGGCCTGCAAAGTGGAATCAGAGTCTGGGTGGATGGACGTTACAAGGGTGGAGAGTGGTTGGTGAAGGGAGCTCATGTCAATCCCCTGAGTGAACGGGCCAGGCCAGTTGGGAGCTGTGTCGGGAATGGCAGATAGTGCCTGTTCAGCCTGGCAGGTGTGGGAATTGGAGGTTGGCGGGTGGAGGTTGGGGGTGGAGGTTGGCGGGTGGAGGTTGGCGGGTGGAGGTTGGGGGTTGAGGTTGGGGGTTGAGGTTGGGGGTTGAGGTTGGGGGTTGAGGTTGGGGGGGTGGAGATAGCGCGGGTGGAGAGTGGTGGGGGAAAGAAGCTAAAAGCAGATGTCTATACCCTCAGTGAACGGGCCCGGCCAGTTGGGGGCCGTGCTTGGGATGGCAGCTAGAGCCTTCTCAGCATGCAAGGTGGGGAGTCGGTTGGGTTGGGAGGATGGAGGTTGGCAGGGTAAGAGAGTGGGTGGGGAAAAGAGGCTGAAAGCATATCCCCGATCCTGATCCCACCCCGATCCCCTCTTCCCCCTTCCCCTCCTCACTCACCTCCTCCCCTGCCTTTCCACTCACCTCCTCCCCGGCCTTGCAGGGCGTGCACAGACGGCACTTGGCCCCATTCAGAGGCACCTTGGCAGTAGCGCTGAGGATCTTAACGGGACACGAGTCGTCCTCTAAGGGGTACATTCGGCGAGTGAGGATACAGAAGGAGAGGTTCTGACGCTCCACTCTCACTCCCCCCATGTCCATCTGGGCTTTAAATGCCATCTCTGAGTTGAGCTGGCTGGGGTAAAGGGGAGAGGAGAAGAGCGAATGGGGCAGGGAAGAAGAGGAGTAGGGGAAGGGGACGGGGATGCAGAAGGAGTGGTTCTGGCGATACATACACTGTCACGCCCCTCGTGTCCATCTGTGCCTTGATTGCCATCTCTGAGTTGAGCTGGCTGGGAAAGGGGGCGGGAGGAGAGGACAGCAAAGAAGGGGAAGGGCAAAAAACAAGGGGTTTCTGGCGATACATACACTGTCACGCCCCTCATGTCCATCTGTGCCTTGATTGCCATCTCTGAGTTGCGCTGGCTGGGCGGAGGGGTAGGAAGTTGGGGGGAAGAGGGGTCAGGAATGGCGGAGGAGACAAGGATGCAGAAGGAATGATTCTGGCGCTGCACTCTCACACCTTTCACGTTCACCTGGGCTTTAATGCCGTCTTTGAGTTGAGCTGGCTGGGAAAGGGGCAGAGGGAACGGGGCAGGGAAGGGGAGGAGAAGGCTGAGGGGATGGGGAAAAGGAAAGAGAAGGTGAGGTTCTGGCGCTGCACTCTCCACCCCCTCATGTCTATCTGGGCTTTAAACGCCATCTCTGAGTTGAGCTGGCTAAGGGGAGAGGGAGGGAGGAGGGGGCATAGTAGGGGATGGAGGCTCGGGCATAATAGGGGATGGAGGTGGGGGCATGGTATGGGAAGGAGGCGGGGAAAGGGTTAGAGAAGAGGAAAGGGGAAGGTGGTTCTGGCGAAGAGAGGTTCTGGCGAAGAGAGGTTCTGGCGAAGAGAGGTTCTGGCGAAGAGAGGTTCTGGCGCTGCATCCCCACTTCCCCCATGTCCATCTGGACTTTAATTTAAACGCCATCTCTGGATTGAGCTGGCTGGGGCAAGGGGGAGGGGGAATGGGGCCGTAAAGGAGGAGGGGTAAGGGGCAGAAAAATAAAGGAGTAGAAATGAGTGGCGACGGACGAGTGAGGATGCAGAAGGAGAGGTTTTGGTGCTCTCTTGGAGTGACTTTTGAGAATTCTCAAAAGGCGCTCTCCTCTCACTCCCCCCATGTTTTTTGAGAATTCTCGAAAAACATACACAGGTTCTGGCGCTCTCCTCTCACTCTCCCCATGTCCATCTGGGCTTTGAATGCCATCTCTGAGTTGAGCAGGCTGGGGGCAAGGGGCCAAGAGGAAAATGGGGAAGTGGAGAGGAAGGAAAGGAGAGGTTCTGACGCTGCGCTCTCACTCCCCCCATGTCCATCTGTGCCTTGAATACCACCTCTGAGTTGAGCTGGCTGGGTGGAGGGGGAGGGGGAGGGGGAGGGGAAGGGTAAAAGGAGCAGGGAAGGGGACAGGGAGGGGAAGGCCGAAAGATCACCCAGGAGCCACGATCTCGTTTCTTAGGTCGCCTTATTTTTTTTTTTTTGTTTGGCGGCTCAGAAAGTGAGAGAGAATCGTGGGTGTGCATGTCGAGCACTGGCATCATTGAAAAAGGTCCGAGAATGCATCTGTTTGTTTCGTACCTACCCACCCACCCAGCGGTCACTTTTAGTTCTGATTAGACTCGAGCTCGAGTTTGTTTGTACCCACCTAGCAGCCTTTTCTGAGACGTCTCGACAATCACCCAGGTGACTTTTGAGTCGACTCAAAAGTGACTTCTCGACAATCACCCAGGTGACTTTTGAGTCGACTCAAAAGTGACTTCTCAACAATCACCCAGGTGACTTTTGAGTCGACTCAAAAGTGACTTCTCGACAATCACCCAGGTGACTTTTGAGTCGACTCAAAAGTGACTTCTCAACAATCACCCAGGTGACTTTTGAGTCGACTCAAAAGTGACGTCTCAACAATCACCCAGGTGACTTTTGAGTCGACTCAAAAGTTACGTCTCAACAATCACCCAGGTGAATTTTGAGTCGACTCAAAAGTGACTTCTCAACAATCACCCAGGTGACTTTTGAGTCAACTCAAAAGCGACGTCTCGACAATCACCCAGGTGACTTTTGAGTCGACTCAAAAGTGACTTCTCGACAATCACCCAGGTGACTTTTGAGTCGACCCAAAAGTGACTTCTCGACAATCACCCAGGTGAATTTTGAGTCGACTCAAAAGTGACTTCTCCACAATCACCCAGGTGACTTTTGAGTCGACTCAAAAGCGACGTCTCGGCAATCACCCAGGTGACTTTTGAGTCGACTCAAAAGTGACTTCTCGACAATCACCCAGGTGACTTTTGAGTCGACTCAAAAATGACTTCTCAACAATCACCCAGGTGACTTTTGAGTCGACCCAAAAGTGACTTCTCGACAATCACCCAGGTGAATTTTGAGTCGACTCAAAAGTGACTTCTCCACAATCACCCAGGTGACTTTTGAGTCGACCCAAAAGTGACTTCTCGACAATCACCCAGGTGACTTTTGAGTCGACTCAAGAGTGACGTCTCGACAATCACCCAGGTGACTTTTGAGTCGACTCAAAAGTGAATTCTCGACAATCACCCAGGTGAATTTTGAGTCGACTCAAAAGTGACGTCTCAACAATCACCCAGGTGACTTTTGAGTCGACTCAAAAGTGACTTCTCGACAATCACCCAGGTGACTTTTGAGTCGACTCAAAAGTGACTTCTCAACAATCACCCAGGTGACTTTTGAGTCGATTCAAAAGTGACGTCTCAACAATCACCCAGGTGACTTTTGAGTCGACTCAAAAGTTACGTCTCAACAATCACCCAGGTGACTTTTGAGTCGACTCAAAAGTGACTTCTCAACAATCACCCAGGTGACTTTTGAGTTGACTCAAAAGCGACGTCTCGACAATCACCCAGGTGACTTTTGAGTCGACTCAAAAGTGACTTCTCGACAATCACCCAGGTGACTTTTGAGTCGACCCAAAAGTGACTTCTCGACAATCACCCAGGTGAATTTTGAGTCGACTCAAAAGTGACTTCTCCACAATCACCCAGGTGACTTTTGAGTCGACTCAAAAGCGACGTCTCGACAATCACCCAGGTGACTTTTGAGTCGACTCAAAAGTGACTTCTCGACAATCACCCAGGTGACTTTTGAGTCGACTCAAAAGCGACGTCTCGACAATCACCCAGGTGACTTTTGAGTCGACTCAAAAGTGACTTCTCGACAATCACCCAGGTGACTTTTGAGTCGACTCAAAAGTGACGTCTCAACAATCACCCAGGTGACTTTTGAGTCGACTCAAAAGTGACTTCTCGACAATCACCCAGGTGACTTTTGAGTCGACTCAAAAGTGACTTCTCAACAATCACCCAGGTGACTTTTGAGTCGACTCAAAAGTGACTTCTCAACAATCACCCAGGTGACTTTTGAGTCGACTCAAAAGTGACGTCTCAACAATCACCCAGGTGACTTTTGAGTCGACTCAAAAGTGACTTCTCGACAATCACCCAGGTGACTTTTGAGTCGACTCAAAAGTGACTTCTCAACAATCACCCAGGTGAATTTTGAGTCGACTCAAAAGTGACTTCTCAACAATCACCCAGGTGACTTTTGAGTCAACTCAAAAGCGACGTCTCGACAATCACCCAGGTGACTTTTGAGTCGACTCAAAAGTGACTTCTCGACAATCACCCAGGTGACTTTTGAGTCGACCCAAAAGGGACTTCTCGACAATCACCCAGGTGAATTTTGAGTCGACTCAAAAGTGACTTCTCCACAATCACCCAGGTGACTTTTGAGTCGACTCAAAAGCGACGTCTCGACAATCACCCAGGTGACTTTTGAGTCGACTCAAAAGTGACTTCTCGACAATCACCCAGGTGACTTTTGAGTCGACTCAAAAGTGACGTCTCGACAATCACCCAGGTGACTTTTGAGTCGACTCAAAAGTGACTTCTCGACAATCACCCAGGTGACTTTTGAGTCGACTCAAAAGTGACGTCTCAACAATCACCCAGGTGACTTTTGAGTCGACTCAAAAGTGACTTCTCGACAATCACCCAGGTGACTTTTGAGTCGACTCAAAAGTGACTTCTCAACAATCACCCAGGTGACTTTTGAGTCGACTCAAAAGTGACTTCTCAACAATCACCCAGGTGACTTTTGAGTCGACTCAAAAGTGACGTCTCAACAATCACCCAGGTGACTTTTGAGTCGACTCAAAAGTGACTTCTCGACAATCACCCAGGTGACTCTTGAGTCGACTCAAAAGTGACTTCTCAACAATCACCCAGGTGACTTTTGAGTCGACTCAAAAGTGACTTCTCAACAATCACCCAGGTGACTTTTGAGTCGACTCAAAAGTGACGTCTCGACAATCACCCAGGTGACTTTTGAGTCGACTCAAAAGTGACTTCTCGACAATCACCCAGGTGACTTTTGAGTCGACTCAAAAGTGACTTCTCAACAATCACCCAGGTGACTTTTGAGTCGACTCAAAAGTGACTTCTCGACAATCACCCAGGTGACTTTTGAGTCGACTCAAAAGTGACTTCTCGACAATCACCCAGGTGACTTTTGAGTCGACTCAAAAGTGACTTCTCAACAATCACCCAGGTGACTTTTGAGTCGACTCAAAAGTGACTTCTCGACAATCACCCAGGTGACTTTTGAGTCGACTCAAAAGTGACTTCTCGACAATCACCCAGGTGACTTTTGAGTCGACCCAAAAGTGACTTCTCGACAATCACCCAGGTGAATTTTGAGTCGACTCAAAAGTGACTTCTCCACAATCACCTAGGTGACTTTTGAGTCGACTCAAAAGTGACTTCTCGACAATCACCCAGGTGACTTTTGAGTCGACTCAAGAGTGACGTCTCGACAATCACCCAGGTGACTTTTGAGTCGACTCAAAAGTGACTTCTCGACAATCACCCAGGTGACTTTTGAGTCGACTCAAAAGTGACGTCTCAACAATCACCCAGGTGACTTTTGAGTCGACTCAAAAGTGACTTCTCGACAATCACCCAGGTGACTTTTGAGTCGACTCAAAAGTGACTTCTCCACAATCACCCAGGTGACTTTTGAGTCGACTCAAAAGCGACGTCTCGACAATCACCCAGGTGACTTTTGAGTCGACTCAAAAGTGACTTCTCGACAATCACCCAGGTGACTTTTGAGTCGACTCAAAAGTGACGTCTCGACAATCACCCAGGTGACTTTTGAGTCGACTCAAAAGTGACTTCTCGACAATCACCCAGGTGACTTTTGAGTCGACTCAAAAGTGACGTCTCAACAATCACCCAGGTGACTTTTGAGTCGACTCAAAAGTGACTTCTCGACAATCACCCATGTGACTTTTGAGTCGACTCAAAAGTGACTTCTCAACAATCACCCAGGTGACTTTTGAGTCGACTCAAAAGTGACGTCTCAATAATCAACCAGGTGACTTTTGAGTCGACTCAAAAGTGACTTCTCGACAATCACCCAGGTGACTTTTGAGTCGACTCAAAAGTGACTTCTCAACAATCACCCAGGTGACTTTTGAGTCGACTCAAAAGTGACTTCTCAACAATCACCCAGGTGACTTTTGAGTCGACTCAAAAGTGACTTCTCAACAATCACCCAGGTGACTTTTGAGTCGACTCAAAAGTGACGTCTCGACAATCACCCAGGTGACTTTTGAGTCGACTCAAAAGTGACTTCTCGACAATCACCCAGGTGACTTTTGAGTCGACTCAAAAGTGACTTCTCGACAATCACCCAGGGGACTTTTGAGTCGACTCAAAAGTGACTTCTCGACAATCACCCAGGTGACTTTTGAGTCGACTCAAAAGTGACGTCTCGACAATCACCCAGGTGACTTTTGAGTCGACTCAAAAGTGACTTCTCGACAATCACCCAGGTGACTTTTGAGTCGACTCAAAAGTGACTTCTCAACAATCACCCAGGTGACTTTTGAGTCGACTCAAAAGTGACTTCTCGACAATCACCCAGGTGACTTTTGAGTCGACTCAAAAGTGACTTCTCAACAATCACCCAGGTGACTTTTGAGTCGACTCAAAAGTGACTTCTCAACAATCACCCAGGTGACTTTTGAGTCGACTCAAAAGTGACTTCTCAACAATCACCCAGGTGACTTTTGAGTCGACTCAAAAGTGACTTCTCGACAATCACCCAGGTGACTTTTGAGTCGACTCAAAAGTGACTTCTCAACAATCACCCAGGTGACTTTTGAGTCGACTCAAAAGTGACTTCTCGACAATCACCCAGGTGACTTTTGAGTCGACTCAAAAGTGACTTCTCAACAATCACCCAGGTGACTTTTGAGTCGACTCAAAAGTGACGTCTCGACAATCACCCAGGTGACTTTTGAGTCGACTCAAAAGTGACTTCTCGACAATCACCCAGGTGACTTTTGAGTCGACTCAAAAGTGACGTCTCAACAATCACCCAGGTGACTTTTGAGTCGACTCAAAAGTGACTTCTCGACAATCACCCAGGTGACTTTTGAGTCGACTCAAAAGTGACGTCTCAACAATCACCCAGGTGACTTTTGAGTCGACTCAAAAGTGAC